CAGTGGGGAGTACTTCCTTATTGCGTCGCCCTGGGCACCGAATCCTCCAGTTTAAGGCTTTCCTGTCCTTTGTCTCCTTAAACCGGTAACCTGACTATCTCAACAGTGGTTACACAGAACTGTTGTAAATTTTCTGAGAATGATGTTATAGCTACTGTGAGATAGATACAGTCAAACCTGTACTGGAGACCACCTCTACAGAAGGACCACCTAGCCAATGTGACCACTTTTTGGTGGTCCCTTACATAAATTTTACCAATTGACACAAGCATTAAGAATCCTGTCTATAGGGACCACCTGTCCACATAGACTTGATTTTATTGGCCCCAAGTGGTCTTCTTTTGAGCTTTGATTATATGTATTTTTCTTATCTGCAAGTATTCTGCTACAAGTTCAACTCAGACTTTTACCACAATTTTCAGAACATGTATATTTTGTAGTTCAACCAATAGACAAATCAGATATCAAGAACCATATTGATAATTTTAGTGTTATGGCATAATATAACAGGACCCCCAAAATATCCTTGACCCATTTTACTATTATATTTTATTCATACATCATAACTCTTGCTATGTAGTTCTTTATGTTTGCTGTTGTGAAGATCATAATGAAATATGAATAATTTATAACCCTGGCAGATGGTGAATGTGTGTTTTTTACACCTGGATAACTTTTATTTATTGGAAGAAAACAGGCATGAAATATTATGAAATCTAAGTTATAAATGTAAATAAAGGCATTTGAAAGGTTGCCAAATTGTTAGCTTTGAATCTACTTTAGAGCAAACGTTTTGCAGACGCTTTCTCACAATAAAGGAGGAACATAAAAGACGTTAAACGTACCTTTGATACTCGTGTAAACAAACAGTACAATAGCATTAAACAATGGCATGTTTACATTTTGTAGTTACAGGGATACCTACTGTGTATAGGTGCTGCATAAAAGCTTACATAGGATTGTATAAAAAGTCAAAAATTCCTGTTACTGTATGTACAAACGAAAACAAAAAAATTATGTTCCTGTTTGGTGGCAATGAGGAACAACTTTTTAGGGCAGGTTGTAAGCTTCATTTTTTGGTTGTCCTTAGTACATGTTTTCCAACTCAGCCAGGTCAAGGTCATTTACATTGCTGATGTTTTCTTGCACTTAAAACATCTGGAAATCTACAGGTGTAATGTTCAAGCAATTAACCTTCCCCCTGCTTCCTAACGCCTAAACGAAAGAGAATTGGTAGCCGAATGACTACTTTAGTGTGCTAAGGGTTAATACGAAGCAACACGTTTCTGGTTTTAACACGACTAAGACAATCTCAATGAAACTTTTAAGTTCTTTTTATACTGTTTACTTTAACCTTGTACAAGTACAAGTAAGTACTTAAACCTTTAGCACACCGACGTTAAACTTACAGGGTCAGGCAGCAGTGAGAAGGTTAAAACAGCTCCTTTTGGATAAATGTCATGGAGTCAATCTTGCTCAAGTATGGTTAACTCACATTGGCAGAACAATCACATTTCGTTGCAGTACTGGCAGCACTGACGTCAATGTGCATTAGAGAGGTTATGCACAAAATGTAGAACACAAGATAGCGCAGCATATGAGACTTGCATGACTAAGGGAGAAGCCAAAAACTATCACATGTGGAAATTTATCATTTTTGTTTTACAGATGGCTTTTGAATTTTACAGCTGTGGGCAACAATATATATATGCTAGCTGCAAATTCATTTGTTTTTCTATAGGTTTAACCTTCTCCAAGCTTAGTCTACAAGCAAAATTTTCCCCTCAAAATGCAGGAAACAGCATTTTAGAGAGTCAAGATTTCAACTGTCTTCAGCACTCGACATAATGTTACGTCGCAAAATTGAAATGAGGGAAAAAAATTTCAGGCTGGCTAGAACACTGCTGCAAAAAATTTCAAGATATGCAGTAAGCTAGACATAGGTCTCATATAGACATAAGCCTGAGTCAGACACATTAACCTAATGATACCATCTCAGCTTTAGATAGCACAGCTTTAGGAACTATGCATGTAACCTTCCCTGATTTTCTGTCTTCCTTCCGTTATCAGATTAACCCCAGATTCTAATGAGATACAGGAGCTAAAGTGGACCCCCTAATATGATGAGAGCTTGGGAGTGGATTGAAGGACAGAGAATTGGGGTATAAGGATGGCACTTCATCAGGAGTGGAAATACTGGGTGCAACAAGCTTGGAGGTACACTGGTGTACCTGGATATTGTAATTTGTATAGGGTCAGGTACATACATGTAGACAGAGCCTAACACAGGTGATTGTACACTCTAGTATATAACTGTTATAGAATATGATTAAAATTCGACTTAAAATTTCTGAAAACAATTATTAAACATTTGTGTATTATGTTGAGGGTTAGGCCAGGTAATCTTTGGGAGATTGAGTCATTTTGTAATTCATGTTCCAATGTCCTTGGTATTATCTGCTCTATGCAGATTGAAGGCTGCTGAGTAGGTTACTCACATACCATAATGCTTCTTACCTTCAGCATTTTCTGAATACATTATGATAGTATACAAACTGCCCAAGAAGACCACCAATAAATTCTGGTCTGTATAGACAGGTGGTCACTTATACAGGTGTATGAGCAAAAAGCAGGTGGCAATTTGAATATACCTAATTTGCATATGCCTATCAATAACTGCTGTAAACAAAATCTGAAGTCACTCATATATAATCATAGCTTAACTAATCAACCAACCAACCAACCAACCAACCAACAAAAAAATCAACTAATTTATCAATCAATATTTTCAGTCAAATTGTGCTACCTTTAAACTGTGAAATTGATGATTAACATACATTGCGAAATCAACGTTAACCATTAACGTTGCCAACAGGTAACAATTTGTTCTAGCAAGATTAATTGTTTGCTTGAGTCACTTTCTCTAAACAACGATTGTTTATTGTTTTCTCTGACACAAGAAATGTATATATAAAACAAATTGAAAATAAAATTCTATATGGCAAAATAATATTTTCACAGTTACTATTACACTTTATACTAACAATATTACTGTTACTACTAACCTTACTATTATTACTATAAACATTACAATTTAAAACGATATTTCCGCTCATGTGATTTGATAATTTGTGATGCCCATGAGCAAATGGTCTCATCCTTTTTGGAAGATAGCCAAAGTTCAAATCCTAACAGCCGTATGTATAAAAGATTTATGTGTGAACAGAGAGTACGCCACGTATGGAGTGACAGTTGGTATACATGTTTGGGCTAAACATGCCATGAAAAACGGCCTGGTTTAGTCATAAGTAATCAATTCCTATAATTTAAGGGCGACTATATGGTGCCAGTGTGCACGCTAGCTATGACGGAGGGTCTGCATGCCCTTTTTCGTTAACCGTTATGGGCCATTTTAATTTACCGTTAATCGTTGCCGGCCTGCTCTAATTCAACGTTAAGCGTTATCGGTATATTCATCGTAAAGCGTTATTGGTCGTTTTAATTCCACGTAAAACGTTATTTGTCATCCTAAATTCAGCGTTAAGCGTTAATGAATAATTCTTCGTTACGCCTAATTTTGCCTTTCAAAGTGCAGGAAAATGCGTCATTGAAGGTTCAAAAATACAAAATTTCCCGCGGGAGAATGCCCCCGGACCCCCCTACATTGCTCGCGCCTTTGGCGCTCGACTCGCACTTCTGCGATCGGTCCCCTTCTGCTCCAGCCAGCACCAGTTTTCCGCAATTACCGGAAGTTTGCGGAGTGTTACAGAATTTTTTAAGGAATCCGTCAACGTTGACAGACAAAATTAACAAAAATCTTGAGTAAAAATATGAAAACATCAGAAGGACCGACAAACACTCTCAACACCATGATTTGCCTCTAAAAATGTGGGAAATTGTGTTTTTGAAGGCTTAAAAATCCTAAATTTCCCGGGGAGCACCCCCGGACCCCCTTTGCTAAGCGTCTTCGGCGCTCCACTCTCAAAATCCATCGGTAAAACTGGGCGGACGGAAAAACAATCAAGCTGGGTAGAGCCCTGGCCGACTCGGACTCCTCTTTATTTGTGGACGCACTCGGGGACCAGGGCAGGTGGGAAACACAGGAACACATACCTTTATAGTATATGTAATTTTGTCAGTGATCACCCTTCTCACAAAGCGAGATGCCAAATCCAGTGCAGCTCGAAAAAAAAGTCTGTCAATTTACCGTTAAGCGTTGCCGACCGTCCTGAATTTACCGTTAAGCGTTACCGGCCCTGCTGAATTTACCGTTAACCGTTGCCAGGACCCCCCCATGCAGACCCTCATGACGACATCCGCTACTCTTGTGGTTGTAATCTACATAAAAATTGACTTTCATTTCGTCAACAACAACAAGGGACACGATCGTAAACATTTCCAGGCTCCTTTTTGTTTAGTAAACAAGATCTAGGGTTGGTCTTTCCTCTTTCCAATTTAGAAAGGGAAAGGACATGCCCACACCGCCCTTTTCCGACAAAGGGACCGGCTACCCTGCACACGCTAGCGGTCATACGAGCCGCGAAATAGCGGTCACCTTTTGGGAAGATTTTCTCGAATTTCTCCGCAAACACAGCGCCAATCGCCTAGAAACTTTGTGGAATGCTGCAGATACATATGATTTCACAGTAGCCGGTTTACTCACTTGGTTGTAGGCTTGGTTGCTGAAGTTTTCGCCAAGTTTCGGGACCCCAAAAATGCCGACTTCCGTCCGCGGGACGTCCACCATGTTCAGCTGCTCGGTCAGGTGACCTCATCTGACATCACTTGGACCAGTTCCAAGTCCAGGGGAATCCTAGTATTTCATAACAACTTTATAGCAATAACATGCAAATATAAACCAATAAAAGCTAACTATATACCAATATAATTTTATAGTAGCAAATATATTGTTCTAGTTGGGTTTAAATATTCAAATTTGGAGGTAAAAATTAACATTTAGTATTTCTTAACCCCCATCCCTTTGAGGCAGGTTAGAATCATCCAAATTGCTTTTTTCGGGCGGCCATTTTGAATGTTTCTGTTGACCGTCACTTCTATCGTCTGCGGTGATTTGTTTTGTCTAAATACAAGTAGGTGACGAGTTTTCTGCGTGTTTTTCTCTGTAAGTCGACTATAGAGGTTGTTATTAAGCACCACTTACTGATAAGTTCTTTGTAGCGCCGACTTAAAAGCAAATTCTGAGAGGAATTTTTGTTGGGGAGGGGGGCGTTGATGTTTTGGTTGAACAGGTGTCTAATGGATAACAGGTGTTCAAAGTGTACCGTTAGCTCTTCTTGGAGAAAGCCTTGTAGTTTATGAAACTTAAGAAATATATCAACGTTAAGATGTAACAATAGTGTTTTTATTTGTTAAAGTGGACGGACTGATATTTTTTCAGTGTAAGAATCTTCATTTTCCCGCTCTATTCATCCGTCATAAGTTATAACGTTAGTATTCGAAGTGAAAAAAATAGAGTGTGTGATATCTTAAAGAAATTGAACCACCTAAATATATTTTTGTTCCAGATTACTTTAGTGGTTTTTATCAAATGTTGTGCACTCTGATATTTTTTCTGCACACATGAATTTTCTGGTTAGTTCTTTGTACCTCTATTCCAACAAAAGTAATTTCCCTAATATATATTTGTATGCACTCTTTTCTGTTTCAGGATCTCAGCAATATGTTCTTGATAGGTTAGTAATGAGAAGTGTACTACCACATGGAGAACTTTGTGCTGTATGATGAGGTGGGGAGAGGCACCAAATCTGTGGTGTACAAGGGCAGACGGAAGGGAACTATCAACTTCCTGGCCATACACTGTGTGGACAAGAGCAAGAGGGCAGAAGTCACTAACCATGTAAGTTTCTGTTTGTTTGCTAACTTTGTTTGATTCGCACAACGGGTTCAAATCACCTTACGATGGTACCAGTGATAGCTTCTTAATTATATCACGAAGCCAGACAGAAATGTATTGAATTTTCATGACACTTTTTGCCAGGTTCGTCTGACCCATGAGATTGACCATTCCAACATTGTTCGGTTCCACGAGTGGTACGAGACCAGCAACCACCTGTGGCTGGTAGTGGAGCTCTGTACAGGTGGGTACACTGTACTCTGTTGTGCAAAATCATCAGGCCACATTGAAGTATATGTACTCTATGTTGCTAAAAATCTGATGGGGACAAAGACAAGTGAGGTTTTCAAATTTTTTTGGCAACACCTCAGGGCTAGAGACATTTATTTTCCCAGTATCAGGACTGACTGCAGCTGTGCATTCTAATTTTTACATTGCATTGTTTTTTACAGGTGGTTCACTGGAAACACTGCTCGCTCAGGATGGTAGCCTGCCGGAAGATGTCATCAGACAGTTTGGGGTGGAGATCATCAGAGGACTGCATCATATCCATGAAATGGGGGTGTTGTTTTGTGACCTCAATCCCCGTAAGGTATACACATATCTAACCTTTATCAAAACCTTTTGAAATGACCACTATTATATTTTTCTTGAGAAAAACAATTCCAGTTATCCACTGCAATAAACCTATTCAAAAGCCTCGCTCACATACAAACATACAAAATACTGTTTTGATGGACATGTAGCCACTCTCCATTGGTTGAGCTAATTATGATTGACAGTCCTTGATTGATATTATAGATCCTGCTGGATGGACCAGGTGTGTTGAAGCTGAGTAACTTCAGCCTGGCTCGTGTGGAGGAGGAAGACTTGGAGGAGTTTTTCCGACAGACGTCAGCGGAGTACGAACAGTCGGAGGACCACGGCGACGCCTCGGACGACTCAACTCCCAAGAAAAGGAGAACTCTGGGTAATTCTCAGTGACTTTTTGTACTATGTAATTTTGCACTCTCTGATTTTTCAGGCCTCAAACTAGCAACCAGATATTTTCAGAAAAAATCATGCATTGCAGAAATACCCAAAAAATTTTTAAGCCCATTTTGTCTACTTCTGAATACGGAAGTATAGTTGGTGGTTGAGTTGTGGGTTTCTATATCTGTTTGTCCAGACAGAGTAGGTTGACAATACATGGGTGGGAGTAAGATTGACAGACAGAACGATAGGAGGTAAAAGGTTCCAGAATCTGACTGTGGAAGGAATTAGAGGTCAACATGGGGGATTCAGGAAGCTGAGGATTGTGTACTTCCCAGTAGTGTTAAATGTGTTAAATCATCTATTCTATTATAGCAAATTCCGACGATTTTTTCCATAGGTTCTCCAGTATACATGGCACCAGAAATCCTCCAGGGAGACGGGCATTCCATGCAGGGTGACCTTTGGTCTCTTGGCTGTCTCCTCTACGAGCTTTTTACAGGAAATCCGCCATTTTTCGCTGACAACTTCACCGAGCTCGCTGACCAGATTCTCAACAAGGACTTCCCCACCCCACGAGTGCGTGGTATCATCCGACCCTCACCAGACTTTCTCACTTTGTTGGTAGGACTTCTCAAAAAGGAACCTCAAGAAAGGTTAGTTATTAATGTTTGCATGCTTATTCTTTGGAACTCTTTGCAGACTTTGTAACAATATATGTCCAATGGTTCCTTTTGCATTCAAAAATGTTTGTAGCTAAAACAAATTTGAAACACTGCAAAATCATTACTATGAAAGTAGATTTACAACTTGTCACATGGAGTATAGTGTTTTTGTACAATGTATATACCTGGTATAGGATTAGGAACATAAAGAAACAAAGAGGTATCTTAACTCCTTAATACACAAAATTAGTGTGGAATTGATGTACACAATTTTGAAGTCTTAGATGTTTTATAACTTTGACTCGCCAAACAAAATCACTTTTAATATGTTGGAAGTCTTTTAAATCTTTGACTAATATTGTAGAAAACCTCAATTCAGCCAATAAACCATTGTTAATATTACTAACATTTCAGGTTAGACTGGGAGGGCCTGCTATCCCATCCCTTCTGGCAGGGGGCATTTCTAGCCAGAACAGGCAGTGCAGATGAGAAGGATGGGGAGAAGGAAGATCAGACAGAGACCTCTCCTGAAGGGTCTCTCCAGAGACATAAGAACATCATGTTGTCTCCACTGGGGAAGAGTGAGGAAGGTTCTCCCAGGAAGAGTATGATAGCATCCTTAAAACTGGGTAAGAATTTCAATACACATAAATATACATTACACACAAGTACTTAATGTATTTTGAATTGTATGTATATGGCCAGTATAATTTTATAGAACTGCCCTTTGGGATAACACAACAGCTTTGCATGCATGGAGGCAGCTAGTTACATTATATTGAACAATTTGTCACACCTATCCTTTTTGCACACCTAGCTGCATTGTTTAAAACTATTCAGCGATGATGCCCCTACTGTACTTGGTGGCAAAGAGTTAAACTGTACAATACTTGCTGTTTGAATTATTCTAACTTAAATTTTGTCTTGCAGATGACACAGGAGAACTACTTGTTCCTCAGAATGCTCCAGATGTGAAAGAAGGAGTCTTCACCTTAAGGTACCTCAATCTTCATATCCTTCCAGACAATTTTTTATGTTCACCTTGAAGATATGTTGATATTGCAGCTTTAAAAAACACATTAGAGCTATATATCTAAACGAATTTTAGGTACATGTATAGGACCTGGTCTAATTATGATCACAGTACTGTATTGGAGATAAATGTTTTACACTAGAACTGACGTCTTGTTCCAGTTCTACTCATAAGTCTGCAATGATCGACCAAGAAGACCAGGAGAAGTTGGCTGCCACTGCACGCCCCCAGACACCAAAAGATGCTAAGAATAAGAACAAGGGACGAGAGTCTTCCGCGTCCAATGTGACACGGTCTACACGGAAGACCAGTGTGTGTGAGGATAATGAAGAAGTGTTGGAACTGGCCTATCACGACTCTGATTGGACTGTAACTCCAATAGTTGACAATCCAAAGGTACCAATGTCTATCTTATGGGTACTTTTCAGCGGACATTTTTCTTGCCAACAAGCTCTATTCGGTCTTTTTCAAATTAAGATATTTGTCATGGTAGAGATTGCAATCTGGCAAAATTGCTGATTCTACTGGTAGAGATCCTAATCAGAGATAAATGTGCTTAATATTATAATAGCTGGAATTGATTGTATTTCTTGTCATTCTATTGTAGATCCAGAAGCCTGCACCATTGAAGTGGGAAAGCAAGGGCCTTCCTGTACCTGCTCACTCAGGTAAACTGTTCATTCTCATTTCTTCATTACCTCTGTGTGTTTCCAAAGTTCCACATTCTAGGCACATCATGGACAATGGCAGGAAGTTAGGCCAATTAGTCCCAGAAAAGGTTATCTCATTTCCTGTCTACAATTTCTTGTTACAGCTGACAAACTGTTGAAGATGAAGACCGTGGAGGCCCGTGCACACCTGTCTGCCTGTCTGGAGTACATCAGGGCACCTGACAAGGGAGCAGCTGGACACAAGGCTAAACTACAGCTGCTCAACTACCTGACAGCCATCGCTTCTAAAGATGGAGTGGCCAACATGGTCATCAAGATGAACATGGTAAAACTTAAAGTTTGTGATTTTTTTTTGGGGGGGGGGCTCGTCACTGAATGACATCCAGTAAATTTCTAGCGGGAACCAATCAGAGGGCTGCTGAATAATTTGAATAATTTATCAAGGCCCACGGACGCGGTTCTTTCACTTGTAAAGTAGCCAATTACCACCGAGCCGGTGGCACACGATGGGCGAAAACATGTATTTCACACCCATTGTACGTCGACATAAAGCGCTTATACATTACAAAGAGAATTTTCGTAGGACTGCCATTACTTTAGTTTGCAGCATGTGTATTGAGAACGAGTATCTTCATAATTCTGCTGGCTGTTTGTAGAAGAACGGCGGAATAAAACAGTTTTCAATACCAACACGACTTAGCAGATAACACGTAATGAAGCCCACTTTTTACGTAGATTGTAGCACTACGTAATGTTACACAAACTAACAGTAGATGTTTTAAGGAATTCACAGAAATGACAATGATAGATAATGTAACGCATATACATTATACAGCACAAAATAAAGAGTAACAGTAATGTAGTCGTCTTTGGCCGGGTATGGCAAGTTATAGTACGTACATGTATCGGTTCAATCTTTAACGGGTAAGTTGACAGCAACAAGCAAGATGCATAGGTTCTATTACTTTTGTAGCTCACTTGCGTCTAGATTTGGGACGACCATGTTACTTTTTCGCCGCAGTTTTTCATGTAGTGGTTACTTCGACAGCCTTTCCGCTGACGCAAACATACTAGTTTGAGGTTCCACAGTTCTTACAACGTTAGCGCTTGAAGTGGTGTTTTCCAAGTTTGTTGGTCTGGTGATGTTGTCTTTGTTGGCTTGTTGTCTGTCATTTCCCTCCATTTTTATGTTTGGCGGCCCGTCTTCGATGGGTTGGGTTTGGTTCACAAATCTCGGCTTCGCTAAGATCCGTTCCTTCCCGTACGTAGTGGTCGCTCCATTAGCGCTAGTGCAGCCACATTTGAATGTGTAAAACTTAATGTCTACAGTCCCGTTTTGATTCGTTCATCAAAGTAGATTTTACTAAGGTATGACTTTACTAACTGATTGTGGAAGTACTAGTACTTAGTACTGATGTAAGCAAGAAACAATATACGCGCTCTGGTTGAGTTCATGGCATTTACATGAAACAAGGTGCTAATAGCCCCTAGTCGGTGACGCGTCAGCAGCCCTATGATTGGTCCCCGCTAGAAATCTACTGGATGTCATATAGTGTACACGGGGGGGGGACGGTGACTACTTTTTTCTGGGACAAGGTTATACAATATTGTTTGAATGTGTTATTTCTTACGACTTTCATTTTGTCTTTTCCAACAGCTGACCAGTCTTGCTCAAGTGATGAAGACGACAACTTCACTTGATCTGTAAGATTTTTACTTTCCACAAATATTTGTATGACATTCTTTGAACATTTGGAACCTTCGTTCAATACATACTGACCCAATACAACATCATGATAACTAATCTATAACTTCTCCCATCAGTCGACAGAAGCTAGCCAGGATGATTGGAGTTTCAGCCAACCATTCCACTGTAGTCCATGATGATGCACAACTTTCTGAGGTATACATTTTTAATCCTCAAATTCATTTTAAGGGTATAAACTATAATGATGTAGATTTTCTAGCTTCTGATGTAGTCATTTCTTTGTTCTGAATTCTATCTCCACTCCTGTCTTCAGATCTTTACAGCCCTGGCTGAGGTGATTCGAGACAACTTCCGTAACGCCCGGCTGAAACAGAGCCTGCTGCCTGCTCTGGGGGAGCTCATGTTCTTGGTGTCATCCCTGGAGGAACAGAAAGGGGGCGCTGTTGAGAACTGGACCATCTCTCCTCTGTGCTTCACACTTGTCATGAGATGTCTGCGAGAAGGGGTACTGTGTCATGTTTTGTGTGCTGCGTATTAAGTTGTATTCTGGAAATGTACTGGTACTTAAGCATAGATATCAGGTCATTGAACACTAGTTTCTATATTATGTACCAGTCATTAATACATATTTTTCTTGCATATTCTTCTTTCCTCAAAATTTTTGCCATCACAAACGGTCTGCTCCTACCCCCTAAAACGTTGTGTCCCCCCTATAGGAGGATGCGGTGGTTCACCACATTGCGGCTAAGATTGTGGAGAACATGGCGACCACGTCCGGCGCCCACAGGGAGAGGTTCGTGACTCCCGAGATTGGACCCATGCTCTGGTACCTGTTCACCCACTCCACGGTCGACGCTCTCAGAGTCACCGCTGTGTCTGTAAGTCAACAACTTTCAGTTATACACTTATGTAGCTTGTGATTCACACATTTAAGAATTTTGGCAACACCTCAGGAGCAAAGCTTAATTAAAGAGAAAGCAGGTGGAACTTGAAGAATATACTTGCTTGAAACAAAGCATAATGCATTTCTGATACCTGATAGAGCAAGGCAGCTTCACTATAGCTTGCATTGAAGTCAGTTAAGTAATAGAATATTTAAGGCTGATTTGTTCATATGAAAGTGCTTTTGGTGTTTCAAGAAAAAGTAGGAGTCCAAAGAACAGCATTTTTTAAGGGAGATATATGTGAAATTTTTATCTTGCTTTTGTTGTATTTCTGATGTGAATGTGAATCTTCACCAGGCAATGTGCAGGCTGAGTAAACATTCCAGCACAGTGTTCCAGAGTGTGATAGACAAAGTGGGCCTGCCCCATGTGCTGGAGTCCCTGGTGCTGGGCATCTCCCGTGTGCAGCAGTCTGTAGTCACCATGTTCATCACCATGCTGGCTTCAGGGGGACATCTACAGAGGCTGGTACAGGACAAGGTAATGATAACAAGAAAAGTAATCTCAAGGAAGCTTATCTCAAATGAACTCAGCAAACAGTTGAGCCACTCTTCCACTGGCCGTGACAGAGAAGACAGATGCTATTTGCAGTTCATACAGGTTTATTGTACAGCGGAAATTCCCCTTGCTTGTTTTGACAAGTACACTAGGCATGTTAGGGACACTGACAGGATGTTAGGCCAAAGGCCCCAGAAAAGGTTATTACAGTTCCTGTCTTTGATTTTCTGCAATGTGCATGTCTGCTGCCTTACATGTATGTGAGCCATAATAGACAGAATCAGCAAGAAATTCATGATGATGAAGATTCTTTATTGACACAACACAAGAGGTTTACAAAAACTCCAAATAGTTTAAAGAAGGTATGAGATCTTCAATTTCTTGTTTGTCTTTTTTTTCGTCTAGGATTTTGTTCAGAAGTTGATGAGGCTGCTGGAAAGTCCATCACTGATTATCCGAGCCAAAGCTTTCCTGGCCATCCATGAAGTCATCAGGAACAACAGGGAGATGTTACTGACCTGCTGTCAGGCAAGGTACGGGCTTAGGGATCTTTTCACTAACTTGTTTATTGTGGAATCCATGATCTAAGCCTGTACATAACACTGTGTATGTACAGTACTAGTACTTGAATCTAATCTTCAAAGTATTTTAGAAAATGAAAAATGAACTGGTCTTATTTTCTATCAAAATTATTTCCTTAACAACCCATGTCCCCAATTTTCCCCAGACTTGTGATGTACATTGAGCGAGACATGAGGAGAACCCTCCCAGCTAAACCTGACCAGCAGGAGGACATAGAGTACATGATGAGATGTCTGGACCTGCTTAACGGGCTGTTTGTGGCAGAGTTACCTCAAGTTATGGGTGAGACAAAAACTCGCAATTCATAAAAAAAAACTAGTAAAGACCTCAAGTTTAGTGATAATATACTATGTAAAATTGTGCACATTGCTAACAGCAATCACAGAGCAACTGTTGAGTGATACAACAGTTTTGTACAGTAAGTACAAGCTGAATAAAGCTGTAGGCCTACTAGGGTCACTGTGAAGGAACCCTACTCTTTTCAATAAGTGAGAGGCCATGATCCCTACCCAAAGCTCCAAAGGTACTCATTTTCACTGGTGCCGAGTGAGCAAATTATCCAATGTGTAAAGTGCCTTTCTCAAGGATACGGTGGGGCCTGCCAGGGATTCGAACCCTTAAAATTCTGAGTCAACAACCCTGTAGCCACTAGACCCTTAAAAGTCCTCTCATGATGCTGACCACAGGTGAAGCTATTTCCAGCCTTGAGGCAATATCAGGCAGAAAGCATCCGTCGTCCACCCAGGCAAAACAGCTGAAGCTACATGTGCCACTGTTACCTGTTATGCTGCACCTGGCTACTAGTCAGGTATGGACAGAAATTTTGAATGTTTCCCCTTGCATCAAGAATTTTTTTTCATAGATAGATATATGCACTATATATTAGATAAAATACAAATATATAAAATCAGATACATTGTAGAAGTTTGCATTGTCATGAATTCGTAATGACACCGTGAAAACTGTCTACTTTTTTCTAGTTGTTGTATCTTTTTTTTTCAGGTTTTCCGCCCAAAGATAGTAACTGAACAGTTCATGTCAGGCATTGGAACACTACTGGTGGGTACAGAATAAATTTTGCCAACATCAGACTATTTTTAAGTTGCTTTTTCTGACATACAAATGTACATTGTACCTGTTTTTCAACATTTAATAGTATTTTCCTTCCCATCCAGACACATCTTCAAAGTCTGGACTCAGGAGCCACCAGTATTGAAACAGCACTGGGTAAGAAATTGTGTCAGTTCTTATAAACAGGAGAAATCATTAAGAATCGTAAGTCTCCCAGTAAAAGTATCTACATGTATGAGTTGTTGAAAGAATAGTAAAACATTTCATACCATTGTGACAATGACAGTCAAATGTACAATATTTACTTAAGATTTGTAAGAATAGAACAACTTTGACAGAATTACATCATACATTACCAATTTTGCCATAACCAGAAGTTATCCAAATGTAACCTTTCATCATAGGCCCTCAATGTGAGCACCCTGTAAATGTATGTCTAACTCACTAAACTGTTCCATATTGTGTTGTTTTTCTCTTGTTTCCAGATCAGGACGTGAACGTTGGCTTACAAAGTATATAAAGCCCATTTCTGTCCCTAACTGCACTGCATAGAAGTAGTATTACAACACTTCATTGATTTTCATAGCTTCTCACAACCCTATTTACACTTGGTATTACCTTAACCTTTAGCATACTGAAGTAGCTGTTTGGCTACCAATAATCCATTGGTTATGGGGATATTGGCAGCAAGGAGAAGGTTGAAATTGCATCAGGAATTTTGATCAAGCAATAATGTTTTTTAATCTTACCCATGCTGCCTAATCCTATAATGAACACAATTTGGGTGCAAAATGGCTACCTTCGTATGCAGAAGGTCAAAATCAGAAACGGTTTGCCTCTAATTTATAAAATTCTGAATGCATCAGTAATCCAAGTGTAAATAGGGAAAATAGATTCACCTCTCTGTCTCAATGTATTTCTTGCTTATTGCATGATTCCTTCAAATGACCTCCCCATTAACTGATTCCTTTAGCTAAAAAATAACCATGATAATGTGAACATTTCTTACATAATTCCAAATCCCAAAACGTTAACATATGATTGAGAAGCTAGCTAAAATTGCGAAGCTAGCTTCAATTATTCTGTAGCTTTCTGCATGGCCAGAAACAATGACATAGTTAAATATAATTATTATAGCTAGTAATACTGATACATTGACATATGCATGTATAATGTTGTTTTATCCTTAGCACTAATCTTATAATTAGTGATAGCTGGTATACTTGTTTTTTCAATAATGGTGTGAACTACATACAACAAAATACAATAAAATAATATAAGATAACATAATACAGTAAATACAACATAACATTGACTTTGATTTAGCTTTGATCTAGCTTTGATCTAGTTAGACCCGGATATGCTGTGCTGCTTTTTGTGTGATTTCTAGATTTTAGTTTAATGTATGCTTCATATACAATTCATTATTGTACATCTATATATGGTTTTGCCTACCCTATATATGGTCAATACTACTTTGTTCTAGTTATTATAGAATGATTTTTTCAGTAATGTTAGGATTTTATGCTTTAATTGCAGCTGCTGCTTTAGATTGTTTTTTCTCTTCAAGGCATTAGAATACATTACAACTGCAGTTTACTACGTACATGTACATTGTATGCTACTGAATTGTGTCAACATCCAAAATAGCCCCATTGTCAGAGACAATCATGACAAGGTTCTGTGTAGAATAAGTGATGTTCTTGTCTCTACAGGTCCATCTGCTATGGAGGATTTGATGCATGTTGTACTGTCAGTACTGGAGGCTCTAGCACAGCACCCGACCATCCTCACTCAGTACCACACTGTGGTAAGGTTTGAATGCATACTCAGTACATTTTAAAGGGACTCTACAATAGATATATAACTTAAGTATTTGATGCAGATGCAGAAGTATTGTTTTGGGTGGCTGAGCTGTGGGTTATATAATCTTTTTGTCTGGACAGTGCATGTTGACAGAATGTTGGTGAGGGCAAGATTGACAGGCAGTGTACCAGTCGAGAGAAGACTACCTAACACCTTCCTCTTTTCATACAGGTTGTCCAGAAAATATTGCCTCCATTGGCTGCCCTGGTTAGCAGTGAGAATGGTACGTTTAAAACCTTTTTTGTCATCAGCCAATGAGGGCACAATTTAAAGTAGTTTCACAGTCAAGATGGTTGGATTGCCTTTATAACAACATAGTTAAGTTGGTTCCAAGAGCCATGACATGTTGCCCATAACAATTTGATTATATTTCCAGCCAATACCAGGGCCCTTTGTCTGCGGATGCTCTCCGAGATTGCCTCCCTGTATTTCATCAACGATGATTTCTACGACATGGGAGCTACCTCAGACCAGACTGCAGCAAACAACAGTCAACTCAACCTTATCGTGGTTAAAATGTTGTTTCCTCAGTAAGTACTAAACACTTTTGCACTTTTGCATTTGCATTTTTTAGAATAAAATGTGTCTCCAAAAGAAATGTAAAAAAAGTTGGTCTTTTGTTGTCTCTCTATACATAGGTTTTGTTTTCAGTGTGTTTGTTTTTGCTTGTGTATCTGTTTTTTAGTAAACTGGAGTCACAAGAAATGAGGAGGGAAATGACAGAACCACAGACTGACAGGAAGGTAGAATTGGAGGCCAAAATGGCTGCAGGCTGGGAGGAAGTGACAGTAGAATATAAGAAATAGATGTTAGAACAAGAAGATTATCATGAATGAAACAATAATTTAACAAATGCAGAGGTGTCAAGTCTTTGGTTTCTTGTTTTTTATTTTGTTTTTTTCTCGATGATTCTAGATATGAACAGCTACTCTTGGAACCAGACCCACTGCCATGCTATGCGCTAAAGCTCTTGCAAGCCCTGCTGGAAAGGAGCCCTGTGTTTGTCAGGTAATTAACTTCGCAATATTCTATAGATTTCCAAGGTATTGTAGATGGCTTAGATTTTTTAATTTAGTATCACTAATGCTCTGTGTATATTTGGATGCTTTGTGTATTTCTGTGCCTCATTCTTTTTAAGAACTCAGCAACTTTTTTTTTCATTCTCAGGAACCTTGAAGAAATGGGCTTGGTCCATGTTCTCTTCCAAGTGATAATAGTGAGTCCAACTGTGATCATATTGTCTCAAATAGGAAGTGCAATTTTCACTTTATTCTTATTACTATATTAGTTAGAATTCTTTCTACACTTTTTACTGCATAGAAAATACCAATGACAATAATTTGTTTCACATGCACATACCTGTGCTTATTTCTAAATCTCTAAATTAAGTTTTATTCTTTTAATTGTTGACTTTCAGGAACACCAGGACAATGCAACCAGCAGTACCATGCAAAGCCTGATGGGAATCTTGAACTGCATTGTGGGATACAAAGACACCAACATGCAGACCCTATATGATCTAGGTATACATAACTTTCCATCACAGAAATGCTGTTATTGTATTAGATCATTGTCAAAAGTGGTTGCTTTTGTCACAAACTAATGACATGAAAATCGTACGACAACCTACAGCAAATGTGACTGCATCCTTGATGTCAAAAAATGAATGTTCCTGTACAACAGTTATTGATCCTTTTCTGTGTTCAGGTCTAGTAGACCAGCTGATGTCCATGCTACTGGAGGTGACCAGTCAGTGTATGGAGTCTGAGGAGAAAGGGGACGTGAAGGCCCCCATCGCCTCCCTGCTGTCCCTGTTAGACACTCTCCACTGCCTGCTCAAATACATCACAAACCTGATCAGGCAGGCACTACAGGTCAGGACACTGAGCAAGTTTTGTTTAAAATGTATAATTGTGCCCATGTTTTAAAGAACCCTCTGCAAAGACTTTTTGTGTAGATATGGCTACCACAAAGGAGAAATAGGCAGTCTTCCTTTATCATTTTATGATGATACAGGTTACGTTATTTCAGGGCCAGAAGTCAGGAGAACAGACCCAGGCAGCAGAGCACCTACTGGTAGTGAACAAGCCTTTGGTGGATCTCACCAGCTTACTCATTCAACTGGTAAGGTGTATAGAGTGTTTTCATTTATTATGTATACTATAGTCTTGTATAGTAGCCCTTAGCACACTACACTAATTTGTATAGGAGTCCTTTCATTCATCAATCCCTTAGAATGCAATGGAGTGGCTCCCTAGAGCCTATAGCAGTGAGAGTTTTTTTCTTACAGAACACTGACTACTTGATCACATTTTTCTTTCCCAGTTGTGTCATGATGACCCAGACATCAAAGACTGGGCGTCTCGCTGCCTGTCCCTGATGGTACAGCTGTATGGTGGGGAGTATGCAGACACCTTCAGCCCAGAGTGTGTGGAGTGTTTCGCAGAGGCTCTCACTACTGCTGATGCCAGGAGGCAGAAACTGCTGCTCAGAATTATCAAAAGAGTGGTACTTGTTTGTTCGTTTTGTTCATTGTGGTGGACGATAATGGCATACATGTAAGTTTTGAAGACCCTTTATAACAAAGTAGTATTGTTTTGGGTGACTGATAATGAGCTGTGAGTTTGTATTTCTATTTGTTTGGACCAAGTACCAAATATAGGGTGACAACACATGGGGTTGGTAATTGGGGGAAGATTGACAGGAGGTCAAAGGGCTCAGAATCTGGCTGAACTGCCAGCAGGAATTAGAAGTCCACTTGCATGGTATTGAGGTAGGTTGACAGCACGTGGGTTGGGAAGATTGATAGGAGGTCAAGGGTCTCAGAATCTTGATCTTGTTAAAATGTTTTGTTTGGCAGATTGTAACAGAGAAGAAACATGCTGCCGTGTTGAGGGAACAGGGACAGCCTCTAGTGGATGCCATGACAAGTATGGTGAAGGTGGCAAGGTCAGTCTCTATTAGTATTAATATAATAGTGTGAACTGCTTCTAATGGAGAACATAATATAAAGTGGAGGACTGGTCTAATACTGGTAAGTTACTTAATGTGTACCTTAAGTATCCTGAAGTTGCCAGTTGGTTACCAATTCTAGTAATACATGTACTACATGTATCCATTACAAATATGTGTATTCAATGTGTGTTCAATACAAGTACGTGTACAGATTCTGAATGTTTTTATTTGATGGGTCGACTACTCTCTTGGGACTGAATTATACACCTGTCCACTAAGATCAAGTTTCATCAGTCCCTAAAGTTGTCTGCTTGGGTAGTTTTGACTGACTGTATATGCTACCAATATCTTGATTTTTCCATCCTCCCCAGTTCCCATGCAGATGTTGCGGTGTCGTCATTGGCTGCAGACATACTCAAGACCATCGGTGTCAAATTATAAACATGTACACCAATGCCTTACATTGTAGTCAGTGGCCTTCCAGAGTTCTACATGAATATCTGTGCTGTGAAATGATGCACTCTTAACTTATGACTTCTTATGAAAGACTAGGTGAAAAGAAAATGTGTGCTGTGGAGATTTTTGAGTCTTTTATTTTTGTGTCATGCTTTGTACAAGAATGTGTTTACATGTACATTTCACTAGAAGTGAATTGTTGCTGCCTACAAATGCTAAACAAGACAATCAAATCTGTAAAAAAAATTGCACATTGATAAAACGATTCATGATGTAATTATTTGAATTTATAATGTTTGTGGTGATTAATGAACTTACATTCCATCAATGTATATTGCAGATAAAAAGGTTGACAATGATTCTGAAACCATTTCTTTATCTTTATGTGAATAAACCTTAACGTGAATACACCAGCTACTCTATGTCCTTTGTGTTCGACTTATATACAATATACCTTGACTTGTTTCCCTTTAGTTCTATCCCTTGTACAAAAGTAAGTATGGTAAAATGACACAATCTTGGATATGCCTTGCCAGCAAACCATATCTAAGGTCTTTCATAATGCTATTGATATTATGTATTTGGCACATGCTAAAAATGGCAACTTCTGCATATAATAACCTTAACTTACATACAAGTGTCCATCAAAAATAGTATATTTGAATGTGTATCTTTGTATTTATGTTTCAATGATTCTTTCCTCAACACCTCTTATGCAGTACCATTTCAAAGCACTTTGTTTATTAATAACACTTATTTACAGTGTGATGACACTGTATAGAAGGTTAGTATGATGTGTGTTATTTATTCTTCAAAGTATAGTGGTGGAATGTTGATAATAGTTGTTAAGCCTTAAAGTTATATAATAGGCTTAATGACAAATGATGTTTGATAAGTGGATATGCACAGTCAAAGCACATTGCCATAAATATTATATAGCTATTGCTGCTTATATTACAAAAGTAGTTATTGCAGATGTAAATATTCCATAATGATAAGTAAAATGCCCAAGTAACTTATTCACTGTTCACCAATGATATTCCAGAAGCAGTGGATTTCAACTTTCTTGACAAAGGCTGGAGTTATTGAAAATTTGGGTAAGTCCAATTTTATGTAACTTCTTGGCAGTTGGTTCTGTCACTAGCCTGGTTACGAAACATATTTTTTTAGCTGCTGAGTCTCTTTTGTCCTCTTTATTTGTGGACAGGACAAAAGAGACTCAGCTCAAACAGGTCTGGTAACCAGGCTATTCTGTCACAGTGTGCTATTATACAGTATCAAAATCATAGGAAGAAAGTGACTACTCTGTTGGGTTACGCTTGACTTGTTGGCGACACATTTAGATGAATCCTCTCTTGAGGTGTTTGGGCCATAGATGAAGAGAATGTACGGAACAGGCTGTCTTACATGTAGATCTTTGGGGGCAGTTGGTTCTGTCACAGCCTGAAAATTCTATATATATATAGTATCAAAGTCATATGATAACCTACAACAAATATAACTACACTTCTAGGTTATGCTCGACTTGTTGTTGGTGACACATTGAGATGAATCCTCTCTTGAGGTGTCTGTGCCGTGGAAGAAGAGAATGTACTCCTCTTCACGACATATCTGTCCTTCTTCCTCCCCTTACAGTACACCTTGTCCCACCACTTCTGCACATCCTCCCGTAGCACACAGTGGAAGATGAAAATGAAGAGACCCTGCAGGGTGTTGAAGATGCAGAACAGATAGGCGAAGACGATGCGAGTATCATGGATGACGAAAAAACCGAAGAGCCAGGTGAGGCCGAACAGGACCAGGAGGCTGACGGCACGGCGAAGCTGGCGGACAATCCACTTGGGGTCGGATTCATCTTTCTTGGAACCTGGGTAGAAACAAAATAGTTAATCTATATACATTATACATTGTTGTATATGGTTAACACAACAGGAACAATGGTTTTGGTGTATCATCAAGATACGTACATTGTAGTTAACATTGTATGTTAGATTAGTTCAGTTCTGTTACAAGGTATAGTGGCGTCACCAAGACCAAGGGGTTGTGACTTCAAATCCCGGCTGTTGTTGCCCACCCGACATGCTACTGGAAGAGGGACAAGTCTTAGGACAGGCATTCAAGCCATGGTCCACTGCTCATTGCACTTGTCAAAAAGACATGGGAAATTTCCTGGTACAATGAACCGGTAAATACTGTACATAGCATCTGTCTTCTCTGTCAAGACCAGTGGAAGATTAGCTCTTGAATTAGCTAAACAGGTGCGAGATCAGTTTTTCTAATCTTACCAGTGAGTTTGATCTGTTTCCTCTCCCTCTTGGCCAGGTGGTACAGGATGATGCAGAACAGCACCAGGTTGAACAGCAGGACCACGCCCGCGGGCAGCAGGAACGCATAGATCAGTGGCGTCTGGGCCAGCCAGCAGCTGTCACACAAAATATTACTGTCAGCTTTATGTCATATGTAAGTATTTGGGGAATCCTGACAACCAGCAGCTGTCACTGCAAAATCTTACTGTTAAGTCATATTTAAGTTTTACAAAGTTAAAATCCTTCCAACACCTTTATGTGTATTGTGGAGCAAAGAATCTCCATTTTACTCACTTCACTACTAGGTCACTGGTAGTGGTGTGTGTTCAACTCCCATACTATTTCTCATGCACACTGAGTGCTTTAAGTGGAGAAAGCAGTTTGAACCATTTTTTTAAAAACTAAATCATATGAACCAGTCACAACCTGCCAAATAATAAGAAATAGATTCTGATACTAGATTATAGATAGATAAGAACAATTTTAATTAAACTTTCTGCATGATAATTTACAATAAGATTAGGTGCAAAACTAAGCAAGACTTACTAGTTGCTGTTCCTGTATTCATAGAGACTTGAAGGTCCCACAGTCACTATCATAGCTACAAAGGGGAAGCCTGGAGGGAACAAAAACATGCTATTAATTAGAAATATGCTTATCTAGATACTTGAAGATTACAAATTCAGTACCAATGACAGGGAAACTTGTTAGTTAAAGATTACATATTCAGCACCAAGGACAGGGAAGCTTGTTGGTATTGCAGTTCCCATTCATGTAAAAACAAGGACATGAAACCATTTTTACACCAACGTATGCAAGCTTTTTATCAATATTTCTCTCATTAAGATAAAAGGGTTCAAACATTAATTTAGTGCATTTTCCAGATAATAATATTACTTACCATAGGCCAAAGCTGCAGCCTTGGGAATGAAGTTCCTTGTCACATACTGTTCAAACACCATCACAGCTGCCAGGTAGATATTAACAGCCTCCATTGCCATCCAGATCAGGGCAGCCAATAGGAAATAGTGTAACAAAGCTGTCACAATGGTGCAGCCAATGGGGGAGCCTGTCTGGTTGATGCCAGCCAGGAATATGATGAGGATGGCCAATAGGGTGAGACATAAGTTGATGAGAACCATCCTCTGGATCCTGGCATGGACTCCGGTTACTCGACGGTTGTACTTCCTAAAAAGGGAATTAAACCATTAGAATCATTAGAAAGATAAATGGTTAGCGTAGATTCAGCTATTTTTTGCAGGATTTGATTTCGGGTCGGAAGGTTTTCCAGTGTTCTAAGTTTCCAGTTCAAACAATCCTGTAGTAATACATTGCAAATATTCAATGTGTCATGAATTTGCAACTTGGAAAGCTAAAACAGCTAAAACTCTAGAAAGGCAACATTTGCAAAGCAAGTGCATAATGTTTACCTTCACATGGTCTAGCCCAACAAATGACTGCTGTTTATTCTTACTCAAACATACTGTAATTCCACTTAATATTGCGTTTGGAAATTATAGCGTTGGGAGGAAAATGGACTAGCTCACGGCACTTAATTTTAGCGGTGTGGACAAGGCAGATGATCAAAAGTGTTCAAATACAATGTATTACGGTACTGAAATTTTAGCGGTAAAAAAGTAACAGCTAAATCAGCTATAATTAAGTGACAGTTAACAAATCAAGAATTACAGTATTCATTATACTTACTGTATATGGTGATCAGCCCTGTCCTGTTACACTTGTTTCACTCTTCGATTTATTCAATGGTTATAGTAAATGATCAAGCCATATGGCACCATGTACACCTTGGGGCAGGTTATTACATGTATCCCCCTACCTTGTAATGATGAAGGATAGCAGTGTAAGCACCAGGCCAACTATAGACACAGCACAGCCCACTATAGTGATGACCTGCAGTGGTCTCTCATGTACTCCAAATCCTGAACCATGCAGGTCCTGAAACAAAACAATGTACATGTGTTAACCTCTTATGTTGTCTAACCACTAACAATTTCAGGGCAGAACATTCACTCACACCACAATGGACACTGACTCCTTTGAAATATTATTGTGGTGGGTTCTTTAAACTGCTTGAGGTGTGGTTCTCCTCTTCTGTCCTCTTACTGTCCTACATAAATGTACCTAACCAAGCTACTGGTATGTGTGCTCATTTGCACCTGAGTAAAGTGAGGAAATAGGTGTTAAGTGCCTTTCACAAATACGCAACTTCTGAACCTGCTAGGGATTCGAACCCAGAACTTTCAGATTCTTAGTCAATAGCCCTAACCACAAGACCACCTTGCCATCATAGTAACAACTTGTTCTACTCACAAAGAAGGCTGCGAAGTTGGTGAGATGGTAGACTTCACAGGTGTACAGTCCGTTCTCTTCTCCTTTGTACTCGCAACCTTCAGAGGACCACGCTCCTTGTCCTGACTTGGCCTCAAAATCCCAGAAAACACACCTGACTGTCTCCACATCTTCAGGAGAGAAGTCCTGGGGAGGGGGAGAGGGTTGTATCAGAAGATGGGAAAATAACAGTTTTGGGTGGCTGGACCATGGATTTGTGTGTCTGTTTTCCCGGATGGACTAGATTGACAGCTTGTGGGTGGGGAAGATTGACAGGTCAAAAGGTAGACACAGGAAATGTCACCCCCAAAATATTTTCCATAAGTCTGAAATCTTCTATTTCTTGTGGAAATTTTCATCTAGCCTTGGGCAAAAGATGGTTTAAACTTCACATGCATGAGGTCAAAGGTAAAAACAATGGGACAGGTCACAATCTGAACTGTCACCAAAGTTTAAGTACATGTAGTAACAATTCTAATCATAAAGCCATAAGGATGTAGATCCCTTCATACCTGCAGAGGTGTTAATGTGATGACCACAGGTTTATCCAGGTTCTTGACCTGAACCCCCGCTAGCTTACTGCCGATGACACGAGAACCCACGGCACCCTGGGAAGGGTCGATGAACAGGCTGCTGTCGTTGTACAGGATGTAGCTCACACGGACATCTGAAATTATAATCATTGTTGGTAAAATTTCTTTACCAGTGTGCACTGTTTTATACATATTATCACTTTACATGCTTTGATTTTTGAGTGAAGTCTTTTCTCAAATATGGGATCCCTGTCCAAGAGGACGTCCCTAACCAAAGCTAGGTACTCATATTTTCAAGTTGAGTGAAGAAATACTACTCGGTATTGGATGTAAAGTGCCTCTCCCAAGGGCACAGTGCGATGGCCTGATATGGAGTCGATCTCTGAACCTTTGTAGCAGTGTGTACTGTGTACAACCCTAACCACCTTGTATGAATTGTTCTTGAACTGTTGGCCCAAACCAGGATTGTCTCTCTGGTAGCTTTACACGAGGTAGTTGAATGCTCACCTGCAGTGTTGTTGATCTGCAGTACCCTTGACAGGTTGGTAGGTAGAGTGATGGAGATGTCAGTGTTTTGTTGCATGCCTGCCCTAGCTGCTGTAGTAAAGCTGGACACACTGCCTGCTGTTAGACTGTTGGACGTGTTTCCACTGGGATAGAAGGCAAATCCTGGGGGAGAAAAAGTCAAAAAGACATGTCTTTTGCCATGTGGGAGCCAGTGGGAAAATTGATAGATAGAATCAGTGAGAAATTCACAAAAATAATCAAAATATTATATTTTTAAGGCCACATGTTATGATAATCTGGGTGATACAGAGAGTTTCTTTGAAAATTGTTGAAAAATCCAATACCTTGTCCCATGTCTAGCTCCTCCAGAGGGACATCCACAGCTTGTAGAGCCACACTAGGCCGTACTGTGGTGTATTTTCCCTCAGTCAGAGTCACTGTGTCAGCAAATGTTTCTAGCGCTTGGGCAACTCTGGATAAAGTAAAACAAAATGTCCCTAACAGACCAATTGCATAGTCCCACAAACCTCAAATAGCCTCATCTTATTGGTTGAATCACTAATTGATAACTGTTAATTGTGATTGAGATGCAGCCACTCTCTCATTGGTTGGACCAGCAATTGCTATTCTATCATTGGTTGAAGTGTTACTTGTGATAGGCATGTAGCCCCTCTGTCATTGGTCAAACCGATTATTGTCATGCTATCATTCGTGCTAATTGTGCTGGACAGTCATGATCAGTTTTATGGTGAATAGATAAGTACATACATGTAGGTTTGTATGTTTAACTGTATGACTGTTACCTGGTGGGTCCTTTCCTCTCCTGCTGACTCTGTTTAAGAACTGTAGCATTGATGTTCATCAAGTTGTCTACTGTAGTCAGGAGGGAGTCACCAACCTGAAGAAAAAGTTATGTCAATGATTTACATATATTGTTATCATGGACACTAAAATGCCCTTGCAGTCGCAAGGGCATCTCGCACCTGATTGGCCCATAAGGACAATCACCATCGAAACGGGCCAGGATTGGTCAGGAGAACAAAGGAAATCGCTCAGAGCGCCCTGACCTATTTGAACAGCGTAACCGCTGAGTCATCACCTTTCTAGCCGCTGATTGGCTAACTCTAGTCAGTGCAAAACGAGATACTGTAAGCTGATTGGTTAGCTCCTAGAGCGCCCTGCCCTGAGCTAAGTAACAGGCAGGGCGCCCTGACCTTACTGTGATAGAAGAGTATAAAAGGCAGTGCCGTACAACTCTTGTCATTTCTGATGAAGACTTCGGAATAAAAAGTCGAAACCGGTAAAATTGATAGTCTCAGCCGTCATCCTTCTGACGAACTATTGACTATGGACACTAAAATTAGTTACTAAAACATTTCATGCACCCATTCTTTCATTGGTCAAACCGCTAATTGCCATTCTCCCATTGGCTAATTGTGATGGACAGTCAGAATTGGTGATACTACAATTCACCAATTTGAGATACAATTTAACCATTATGTCCTTAATGCTGAAGACCCATCAAGTAGCTCTCAGGGAGGAGGCCTAATCAGTCCCGGACAGCAAAAGACTGTACAGTTACACAGGCAATCCTAGACTGGCTAGTCAGAAAACTTTAGTTTTAGGAACTGGTCAGATTGTAGTAAGAACAGACAGTAGTAACGGTAGTTACCTGTTCAGTAGGACTAGCAGTGACTATCTCCTGGATGAGTACACTGGTGGTTGTGACTTGATCTGGAGTCATGGTGTCAGACTGTGTAGTGATGACCTGTAGTTCTGTAGCCACATTCATTGCAGTCTGCGAGGTTACTGTTGTCTGGAAGTACAACCATAGAAAACATAAATCAGAGATATATTGGTGAAGGTTAGACATCCAGGTAATAAGATAAGTGTGGTGGATATAAGTTGTCAGTCTAATGATAGAGTAAGTGATGAGAGTTTCATACCTGAGACAGATTTCCAAGCCCAACGTCACATATAAGGTAGACAGGTTGGTCCCACTGAACACTTCCATCTGGTGTCTCTCTACAGTATCGGGTGGCATGTGGCTTACCTGTAACATGAGTATTACAATGTCCTCAGATTCTTAAAAATTTACCATTATATACAAATCTGCTGGCTCTTATATAGATAGATAGATAGACATCTATATAAAGGTAGATATTTATAAATACTTTACTCAATATACCCAATATATATATATATAAAAGAATTTATAGATATACATATAACGTACCATTTCCTGATGGTGAGGCACAGCGTTCTTGGGAAAAGGCAAAAGAACCGGCTTCTGTTTGTGGAAAAGTCACAGGCGCCGCAATAGTCTCCACTAAGTCTTCTGCACAGTATCCTGGATAGGTTGATAATGGGATAATTTAGTACACAGTAGACCACAGAAAGAGAGAATCTGACCCAAGCGTTCCAGAAGTTTACAAATCTATGCTATATCTCAAACTCTCTAAAACTAGAAAGAAGTCTGTTGACTTGTTGCTGTCCATATGGCAACTTGAACATTATCACCTATCGATATGGCAAGGAATTGCAACATTCCCACTTACGTTGTCTTTCCATGGTAGTAGTGGTGGACTGTGTTGTTGATACTGTAGTTGACACTGTAGTTGACACTGTGGTGTTCTCCAGAGTAATCAGTGCAGGGCTGGGCCCATTGGTCACTGTTGTGCTCATCATACCTACAGTACAGAGAGAGCAATGCACCCATTGTAAGATGGTTTTGTTTTTGGTGTGTTTGCCTCTGTATACATAGTTAATATGTGGATACAGAAGAGTTACAGGCCTAGGACATAGGGGGAAATGTCATAACCACAGACTGACAGGAAGTTCGATTATTTTCACATTCTGGGCACATTGGGGGATACATGAGTTAGGCCAAAGGTCCCCAGATAGGTTATCAAAGGTCACCTCATTTCCTGTTTTCAATATACATTTACATATCTGTTGCTTTATGGAAGCCATTGGGAAAACACAAATATAGAATCAGCGAGAAGTTCACATTTATGAATAAATTCTCATTTCATTAATTTAAGAATACCCACCTTCCAGACAGTGGTACGTGACTTCAAGGTACTTGGAAGTGCCCTGGCAGGGGTCCCCGAAGACGCCGTTTGTCGCCGGTACGGTACACAGAAACCGTCCGTCACATCGGCGGGACACCACTCTCTGGCTTCCCGCTGAGATACACTCTGTATTACCGGTGCCAGGACCCTTCAACAAACGCAAAAGTATGAGTGTTTTTCTCTTTGACTATACTTTTACTACAGTCATGGTTACAAGTATTAGAGTCCAACTTGGTAAAAAAAATTACAGTTTGGAACAATTGAACTGTTCTGCAACTAAAAGTGGGTCGGGGGTCGATATCAACTTCCAACAACCTTTGACCCATTGGGCTATTCCAAAAAATAAAGGAGAATGGGGGGCGGAAGAGGTTGGACTGGACAGGGGGGGTGGGTAAAATACCTGGACTGGACAGGGGGGTTGGGTCAAATACCTGGAACGGACAGGGGGGGTTGGGTCAAACAAATCTGGACTGGACAGGGGGGTTGGGTCAAACAAATCTGGAACGGACAGGGGGGTTGGGTAAAATGGATCTGGAACGGACAGGGGGGTTGGGTCAAACAAACCTGGAACGGACAGGGGGGTTGGGTCAAACAAACCCGGGTTGGAGCCAGACTGGAACTTGGTGGGTATTGGGTGTATTCAGCATTTTATTGTTTGGATTTCATCTCTCTGAACAGTCTTAGATGTTTAATTGAAGGTTGGAGAATGATTTTTTGCTGGATAAAGGACATTATAAATATCATACAATCATAAACATAGCTTCAATATGCATACCACTCTCATATAGAGTCCATATAAGGTCTATAAGATGTACATACTGTAATGTTACAGAGATTAAATTTGTTTTAAGTTAACGCATCAAATTTCAACTGTCCCACACCTTTCATAAATAATTTAAGTGACCAAACAGCTCAATCCCATGTCAGACCTTATGGACTTATCAGGTTATAAGTGCCAGGAAGTTTATACTGCCAGCTATCCCTGTTTAGTGATGGTTGGTGTGCTCCTCAAATTTGTGCTATATAGGATTTCTTCTTTTCTTACATGCAAATATAAATACAGTAGTAGAAAATCTTAATTTAGAAAGTAAAAGTCCTTTTCTTTTTCAAGATTTATCTGAAACAACATTTTACCCCAAGTAATTAGTTGGTTACTGTAAAGTTAACAAGCAAGTGTTGTAAAGTAAACAAGTTAATCCAGCATTCTCTTTCAATGGTTTGCATAACAAAAGGATCAGTCGAATTTTAGCCAAACAGTTTCTCTCAGTTGTTATATACCACACATCAAGGTTAATTTCTTTCCATCTATGAATCACTTTTATAACTTCCTAACTTCTTTGTTGATCTAAAAAAATATGTCATGCATGGTAGGGTGACTGTGGAGATTGCAACTTGTCCGTAACATATATTATTTTTGTTCCTTTTTATCTAGTTTCGCTATAACTATAGTATAAGCTCCTTGGTTCAACTGAATATAGAGTTAACTGCATAGGTTTTTTGTTTTGCAAATGTTCTTGTAACTTATAAAAGAATAAAAATTGTCTTTGATTTTCTTTTCAGTCATTTAGATAATATTCAAGTGCAAGTGTGAATCTGAGTGTATTACTGTACCAACAACGAATCACATGAACTGGGTATCACTCACTCCAGGAGACTCAGTGTCCATTGTTTTGCCCGATTTGATGCAAACTACAAATCAGGGCTCAAAGTACTGAGGGTGCACCAAAATTTGGAGCTGTACACCCAGTCTTTTTCTGAGTGCACCCAGATATTCTGGTAGCCCAATGTTGAAGAAGAAACCGATAGTGATTTTTCAAAGTCAGAAGAAACTGCCAAGGAGCCAACCTGGCTTTTTGTGTAAGCTTTTTTAACGCCATCTAGTAATCTTGTTTTATACAGTGCACCCATGCAAAGTCTTTTATGCACCTAATTGTTTGGGTGATTGAATGCAAAGTTCATATGCCAAATATACCTGACTAACATATGGGTACAATTTCTCATATAAGACACATTTGTTGTTATTTAGTAGCCTCCACCAGGCTTTTCTGTGGGATTATGGATTGTGGCATATGTATTTCGGCAAAAAGGATTGGCCTGGGGAGTCAGTCTGTAGAAGGTTTCTTCTTTCCGGATACAATCCAGTTACCCTCCGAAATCAAACCCGAAGGTGGCCAGGCCAAACTAGCCTGGCAAATATTCTCGTAAATAGTCTGGTACTAGTGGTAAAGACTAATTAATTTGGTCTAACATCATTTAAAAATATCTTTTACAGACCATCTAAAATCGAACTGCTTTATTTGACAATTATTTTGCATTTGTTAAAAAAACTTTGATTTACAAGTACTTTTCAGTATTTTTAGGTTCTTTTCCTATCCAAGGGTTCTAGTCGACTTGTACTAGACTTTTGGTGAACCAGGATTTCAGTTTCCACACAACCAGCTGCAGTAACTCATTGAAATGCTAATTACTGTCTCCATGTCCTAATGAGTTCCTATTGTTTGCTCAGACATTGTTGTGTTATCAGATTATGCTAAATTATCTCAGGCCAAAGTCACTTCAGCAAAATAAAATTCTAGGGTAAAAGTTCAGGACAGTCAGGTTTACACAAAGTCATTTGATTTGCCGAAAGAATTAGAAGTCATGAGTACAGTCTTTACAACACTGAAGGACTGAAGGTGTGGGCCAGGCTAGTTTGAATTATTTTGAATTTTCAAAACCAATACTCTGATGCAGTTGAGCAAAACAAGGAGGTCAGAAACAAATTTTAACCAGCTCCTTGTTTAATACAAAACCTCCTTTTATTTCCTTTTCAGTCCATTTAGGCTCTTTCAAGCCAAACCCAATGCCAATGGACCTGGAATTCACTGCTTGAACAAACAAAAGTCCCTACAGGTTCCCATTGTTTTCCCCACCAAACCAGCTAGGTTCTTCATAGGTTAAGTCCATTGAATTTCTATTTGCACTCAGAGCATCATAAAAATATCACAATAAACTCCCATCTTTCATAAAAGGACAATGGTATAAAACTGTACATTGATTGTCATACAACAAGACAATGTCATGAATTTCTACCAAGTCATATTTTTCATCCCTAACAGAACTCAGGGTTCAAAATACCGACTCTTTTGCAAACAAGTCATGACTTGTTTGCAAAATGTTTTCTGTGTGAAACTTGAACAAAAAAAATTGGAAACGTCAGATTGCCTTGCACGATCCACCTGGCACGCAAATGTCAAGCTGATCTTTTATAACCCTGATGAAGGTAACTTAGACATCCAGGTTAACAATATTCAAAGACGAATCAAACTTTACTACTGGATAAATTATCATGGTGATTACTTCAGGACATTTCCAGGAGGCCATCTGTAGGTGCAGCTACAACCCCACTAACTGGAAAGGAGGATTTCCCATAGAACTCTCCAGTACATGCAGTTGTTCCTGGCTGTGGTGTTGTATTAGTATTACCATAATCTACCTTATCCTCATTTACATAACAATAACAGTGACACTTATGTGTCTTTCACTCTTTGTTCAACTGTTTTTTCTAGTTCCTCCAAGTGCAGTTTAGTGCCACTGAAGAAGGGTGAGAGATGTTTCAACTTAAAATGTTCCAAAGTAATCTCTGGAAAATCATGGCCATCTTGTACTGAGGGTCTGCATGCCCTTTTTCGTTAACCGTTATGGGCTAGTTTAATTCACCGTTAATCGTTGCCGGCCCGCTCTAATTCAACGTTAAGCGTTATCAGTATATTCCTCGTGAAGCGTTATGGGTCGTTTTAATTCAACGTTAAACGTTATTTGTCATCCTAAATTCAGCGTTAAGCGTTAATGAATAATTCTTCGTTACACCTAATTTTGCCTTTCAAAGTGCAGGAAAAAGCGTCATTGAAGGTTTAAAAATACAAAATTTCCCGGGGGAGAACGCCCCCGGACCCCCCTACATTGCTCGCGCCTTTGGCGCTCGACTAGCGCTTCTGCGCTCGGTCCCTTCGGCTCTAACCAGAACCAGTTTTCCCTTCAATTTCCGGAAGTTTGCGGAGAGTTACAGAATTTTTTTTAACGAATCCGTCAACCTTGACAGGCAAATTAACAAAAATCTTGAGTAAAATATGAAAATATCAGAAGGACCGACAAACACTCTCAACACCATGATTTGCCTCTTAAAATGCAGGAAATTGCATTTTTGAAGGCTTAAAAATCCTAAATTTCCCCCGGACTCCCCTAGTAAACTGGGCAGACTGAAAAAAATGCAAGCTCGGACGCCCCGGTATTTGTGGACGCACTCGGGGACCAGGGCAGGTGGGAAACACAGGGAACACATACCTTTAATGCATGCTTCATTACATGTAAGGTATACGTAATTTTGTCAGTGATCACCTTTTCTCACAAAGCGAGATACCANCCATTGCTGACGTCATAAAGTCACGTGTCCCGAGCGATTGGGTCAGATTACTGAAGAAGACTGAACGATTCAGTCGGAAATTTAGTGAGTCCATGTTTTTTCAGTCGGAGAACAATTTAATTGTTCCATGACCATGGCTAGGTAGGTGTTCGTTCTTAAAAGAGTGGGACTATAGTAGAACCTCAATAGATAGCTCTAAAAATAGCTCCTATGTCTCAGTAACTTACGTCGGGGCATATCGTTGCAGAAGTCCGTCCATAGTTGGCGTAAGTCACGTGGATTCTCCCAACTGCACATTGAATCTGGAGACTCCTGTTCTCACACGCACGTGCTACTTCGGCTGGGGGAAATATAATGAAATATTAGAAACAGTACAGGAAGAGATGGCAGCTGACAACTCTGTTGACAAGCCTATGAGCTTGTATAATATCCAACCCCATGCAATGCCTTTATGAATGGGTGCGTTTTTTTCTCTGACAGGGAGATATCAAGAAAATGTAGCTCATTGCAAGGATGCTGGTTAGCTTTTTAAGAAACTAAAATTAGGGTTTAAAACAGGACGGGATGCGCTGGCCTTAATACTAAGTATGGCGACTCTGCCAGTCCATGCTCTTCTTGAAAACATAGACGTACATCGATGATGACGATGATGACACACACGGTGTAATGATGACAAAGACGGTACGATGATGACAGACGACAAGACGGTAATGACAGTGTCGATGACGTGACGATAGTTACAACTGTGATGATGATGATGACGAAAAGAAATAACTAGATTGTTTTGAGATTTTCCCCGGGCGTAACTCATGCCATGCAGCCCGTTTCCTTCCACTGATGGTCATGCTCCTGTCTTTGTTTGTTTGTTTGTTTGTTGAGTCGAGTATAAGAGCTGTCACCTGGCTGGCATCGATAAGTAACCTTCAGTTGTTTCTCGGTTTCCGGGCAGACGGAGCCGAAAGTCTCCTCCCCAACGCTCACCCCGCATCGCCACTTCCCGTTGCAGCGCTCACTGACCGCCTGCAGTGCACCATCAAACCGACAGGAGGCGTTGTAGACCGGTCCCTGGCAGTCTTTCACCATCTCGGCGTCCGACCGCCCCGGCGGTTCCGTGTAACTCACGCCGTACCCGGGGCCTTCTCCGCTCGAGCCGGGTATGGGGAGAGCACCGTACGTAGCCCGAAATACATCGATTATTCTGTTTGGGGGGCACTCGATGTGTAACGTTTCACCCTGACAATATTGTTGGTGTATAGGGGGTTCCACTGTTGTGTGAGGGGCTGCAATGAAACAAGGAAGGTGTAGGCAAATAAAGTAAAGCGGAAAGGGTGATAGAAAATCACAAATAATAATATTGAAAAGAAGAGAATCAAGATGTGAAGCATGAGCAGAAATATTTGATAACAAGAAAGCGGAGATTTTAGACTTCCGGAAATTATTTAGGGTTTTCGTAAGTACTAGTATATTGTGTAGGTAATCATATGATGTAATCCAATCGGGTATTACACCACTTCCTTAATTCCCCCACATACCGCTGACCTCCGGCGCGTGTCACCTTCAGGTGTGACCTCCCTATCAATCAACTGTCAAAATCACCTTCCACTATTTGGACATACAGGTACACAAACGCAGGACGCATTGCATCTTAAACAGTTGATTTTAAAATCATAGCACATTATTTTTAACAGTCATACCCCCTCCCCCATTTCATGAATGGGTCTCCCCAATCCTTCAGCTGTAACAACAGCAAAAACCTTCATCTTTTACACATCCTGTATCAAATGTTGCCGAAACATTCCGTACTAACTGCACAGCAATATCGCCTTACCATTTGAAGCGAACAGCCATATAAGGCCTCTATCAACTGTCTGATAATTGAGTCACCTTGTTCCGGCTTTGTGTTTCATAAACAAGGAATTGTGTTAAATTAGAAGCTTCTGTCAGACATTCAGGACCTTCCCACGACACTGTCTCAACCATTCCCCAACCTTAGTAAGTCGGCGCTTGGTTGGGGAATTTTTTAAAAGCTTTGCGTGTTTCGTTGTCTTCGCTTGTCTAGATCATTCTACTACTTACTAGTCTTACTAGCCTCTACCAGGCTTCAGAAGCGGCTGGAAATGGTAGAAATTGTCCAAATAAACATGTAACATACCAGAGGAGTTCGTCCGCTAAATGAGTACAGTTTTTATTGGACCAACTCCCCTGGCATGTTATCTCTTTTATTTGGGCAATTTCTTCTCTATCCAGCCGCATCTGAAGCCTGGTAGAGGCTAGCAGGTATATCAAGGCTAGCAGGTATATCAGATATCGTTTAGGAAATTTGTCACTGAAAATTTCTCGCCTCGCTCCGGGAGTTTGGCGGGTTAATTTCCCTTTACGTGTGGATGAGGTGTAGGCTTTACGACAGTCAGTAGTTCTTGACTCATGCTGAATACTTCCGAACCAGAAGGGAAAGTACTAGTCAGAACTTGAACCTGAACTACGGGAAGGAAGTGGGGACTACTGTTTTACCGATAAAGGCTGCTGTGTCATTCTGAGAAATAACTTCATTTGCTACACTAGATTGTTATCACTACTACTAAATGTTTGAACCATTCACACGTTTGAGCACCATAACATACAAATGTAAAAAAAAAACGATACATTCAAGTATCTACTAGTATATAGCCTAAGGAAAATGTATTGGGAGGTGTGGAAAAAAAACTGCCCTCAAAATTGTCAGGATTTTCTTGTTGGATTAATAGTAGATTCTTCTAGATCTCCCTCAAATTGTTGAGATCAAAAGCAAGGTTCAACTTTCCCAGGACCATTGTTAAATTTACTCTAGAGTAAATTTACTTATTAAGCCCTACGTATAGAGTTGACATTCCAACATGTACACACACATTACATATCCGGTGGGGGCGTATTGCTGCCTTTGTACGTGCGGATAACGACTTTAACTACAGACGCATATTTGTGTGACAGTTTTGTATATACAAACCGCCATGAGAGAACAATCAGACCGCACGTAATGGTGTGCTTAGTGGGACAAAGTGTCCGGGTTAGACGTGAAACTACGCCGTTTTAATTGGTAAATACACCCACTGAAATTACTAGCCTGGATGCAAGACCCTGGCTCTACACAATACTCTCTTCGGCTGGGAGAGGCCACAAGCCCCGATCCCAGACTTTAACATCTCGGGGTCTAATTTATACCTCGAGCTCAGAGTCTATCTGAGGGGGTGTCCAGGTAAAATTTTCGGAGCCGAGGAGCTAGCCTGTATATCACCCCTGGCAACAGTCTGGCATCCAGGCTAGCCTACACCAGGCTTGGCGCTGGGACAAGAAGGGATTGGCCACGTGCCATGAAATTTGGCCCGCTCACGGTTTCAATTGCCTTCCTGACATGTTATCTATTGGGCCAGTTTCCACTCTTTCCAGTCGCTTCCCAGGCCTAGTGGTAGATTCTAGACTGAAATTACCGGGGAACCTGGTAAATTCTACGATGCATTCTCGAATTTGCCGATGTAGAGTGCTGACAAGGTCAAAGCCTTTGACCGGTTAGGAATGAACACTAGTACTTTTACGATTTACCACAAATTTGTCATCGCTTAGACCTTGAGCCCTACACGGCTTACCATATCACATCTGCTCCCGTTTTTCATTATCTAAAGACTTGTTGAAGAGGTTCATCAGTCACTTTTAAGTACCTGTTAGTAGAATATTCTCCAATCAGTGACTTCAGTTCTCGTGAGACTAGGTCACTCCGTGATGAAGACGAAAATATGGAATTTTGTTACCTTTTAAAAATCACTGATTGAAAAATATTCTACCAAGGTTTAAATTCCTTGATTGGTATTAAATTTGTAATTTACAAGGGTTCGTTGAACTTGACTCATATCTGTGTAAGATAAAACCTCCCTGTGGTGTGGCTACATCTGGTCGGCATTTTGTGTCAGATAAAGAGTCTGAACTATACGGCAACCTTGCCAGGGTAATCTGTTGAAATAAGTCAGGCTCTGAACTTGTTTGGGAGTTTTCGTTAACGTTTGCTTATCCGTCTTATCAAACTTGACCGGAGTTTGAACTTTTCCCGAATATACAGAGAGGGAAAGAATTACTAGTATACGGCAGCTAGCGGTACGTGAATCTTGATATGAAATCACAATAGCAAAAGTAGCACGTATTTGGTATTATAGCACGGAAATAGCACATTTCAAGCACATACTACACGAGTATCACTTGTCTATGTGAATCGAAGTGCCCTGCAAGTTAGCCTCCTACGCAGACTTTCTAGCGGGCTCTGTTTGCTTCTTGATGGTTTCTTTTCCAGAGAAGGGCTGTGTCGGGAACAGGACTGTACCAACCGATGCAGCTATCCCAGAGAAAAGAAACCGTCGGGCTCATCATAGAAACAAATTAAACTGAGGCCACTAGAAAAGTCTGCGTACGAGGCTACCAGCAAGTCTGGTATTTTAATGAAAGAAAGGTGGCAGCGTAAAAATTACATTCATCGTGAGAAAACCGGACAGCTGTCGTCTGACTTTTGCGTAGGAGATTTCCAGAGTCTAGATTCCCAGACATGCTTGATGCGTCACTTGTGATTCCGTTTTAAACAGATGGTCGAATAGTTTCTTATGTAGTTTTTCAAATATTGCCAAGCAGATGTTGGGTGGAATATCGTACAACGAAAATGTCTAGTAGGAGATTACTGTACTTTGATATGGCCATTGGTCCTGGCTGACTTGAGTTATTACAGTGTAACAGGCCATATTATACCCCTGGCCAAAATATCCCCAGGGTACATTTTGACCAAGGGTATTTCTGGCCTGTAACAACGGGGCAGCCCCGCTGGAATTATTCCGAGGTCGGTTACAGATTACTGAAATCTTTGGGAAACCGACGGTCCTTCGTAGGTTCTTATAGCCTCGAGGTTCAGCCGACCTCGTGGGACGTTGCCTGGTTTTACCTCTAGTCTCTTCCAGACGTCTCTGGGGTCAGATGAATGGGAGAATAATTGGGAGAGTAACTGGACAGAAGAGGCCAGAGAAGATCCATGCTCTGGGGCCAATTTAGACCTTCTTTGCAGACCTTCTTCTTTAGACCTTCTCCTATAGTCACAACATTAGGGCCAATTTCTGCTGTACACTCCAAGCCTGTACATGTATACTCCAATCCTATCCCGGCAAATAAAACCCATTGACCCGCGAAAGAACATTTGCAAATAATTATATGGCAATATTAACTACTCTTTAAAACTCGTAGGATGAAAACCCGTAGAACATCGTAGTTGTTACGCTAAAGGAAAAATTAGAGTTACCCACTTTCGAAATGTACTCCTTTACTAAGGCCTTTAGCGGACCAACTCCCCTGGCATGTGTGTTATCTGTCCTATTTGGCCAATTTCTACTCTTTCCAACTGCTTCTGAACCCTGGTAGTAGAGGCTAGTCCCAAAATGACTGAAAAGACCGGAGCACACTATCCCAGCTCTACAAAAACTGCACTGTTATGCCTGTGTCCTCGACATGTCTTATAAACTACTAGTATTCGTCTTTCATAACAAGACTCGTTGGTATAAACCCCTCCACAATGAGCCTGATGGAGATTGATTACTTTAAAGATGACCCTTTTGACACATTTATGACGTCATCTGTTGATAACGTCGGCATAAACAAACAATCATAAGTGATAAACAGTGGGCAGCTGAGAAAGCTAGGCACGTCTTTGGGCTTATAAAATGATAGCCTCTACCAGGCTTCAGAACTAGATGGCAAGAGTGGAAATTGACCAAATAGGTAGCCTGGTATCCAGTCTGATTCGTGGTGGGGGCCGCAAGAGCTCTGGCCCGCCCGCCTCACATAAGCTTCCCGGTGTGTATTTCACGAGAGATTAATTAGCCCTCCACGAACATCGTGTTGGGGGAAACCAAATCCCCGAGCATACTGTCTCTGATTAGCGTAACACTCCTACCGGGACGGTCTGTTGCACTGGGCGGGGGAAGCTCTTAGAGGCCCCGAAAACACAACCTGCCTAAACACCCCAATACCCCAATCACGATCAGACTGGATACCAGGCTACCAAATAGACAGATAACATGCCAGGGGAGTTGGTTCACTAAAGGAGTAAAGTTGAAGTAGCGGCAAGCTGTACTTTTATTTGCTTGCATTTTATTTGTCTATTCGCCAACGTCTACTCTTTCCAGCCGCTTCTGAAGCCTGGAAGAGGCTAGGCTTATATCTCAGATGTGCTGTTTTGACTTTTGTCCCTCTAATGTTGCGTGTCTCTTTGTTGGTACGTACGTATACCTGTAGTCAAATGAAATGGTTGTCGCATTTTACAAGACATATTAGACAGTAGGCAAAACGACTTAGCTTTAGTGATGGTGTAGGCCGGATAATTATGTTTACAGAAATCCAATCCTTTCTGCAAGTGACATCAACAAAAGGAGGCCACAAGAGAATTAAAGAACAATGGAAAATGCGTCGTAAGCTTTTAAAAAATTGTCACATAATGGAAGTCGATTTTTAAGCAGGCCATGGCAAGCACAGATCTGTATTTTCCGGAACAAGACAGTAGGACATGTGCACGACTACTAGTATTCCAAGAATGTCATTCGGTTTCCGATCGCACGACGGTCGTGCGACGTACGTGGCCAATCCCCAACTCTTCTTCAACAATTACGAAAGACCAAAGGTACAACTTCAGCAAGGCTTCATCGCGTCAGTTTTCACCGTTCAAAACCTATTTTCACCCTTCAAAACCCAATTTTCACCCTTCAAAACTCAAATTTTCATCGTTCAAAACTTAAATTTTCACCCTTCAAAACCCAATTTTCACCCTTCAAAACCCAATTTTCACCCCTCAAAACTTAATTTTTCATCGTTCAAAATTCAATTTTTCACCCTTCAAAACTCAATTTTTCACCCTTCAAAACTCAATTTTTCACCCTTCAAAACTCAAATTTTCATCGTTCAAAACTTTTTTCACCCTTCAAAACTCAAATTTTCATCGTTCATCGACTCGTCCCCAGGATACTATGGTTGGCTCTTCCCAGTATGCTTTGCGCGGAGAAAATGCGGTCTCTTTCCCAGGGCAGTCAACTACAAACGCGAATACGCTAGTGTTATTCGCTGCAGTCTCGCCGTGCCCAGAACGTAATTATATATTATTTTGGACGCTGTGGAAGGAAAACATTTCCAACACCCAAGCACGATTTTCAACCGGCTGTTTTTGTAAGTTAGAATGGGGAGGGGGGCCGGGGGCGTTTCTAGGTACTTTGACTAAGTTAGAGCAGTTTTTTCGTGTTTATAAATTATGTTGTGGACAGAGTCCGACAGACTGTTGTTGGTTTCTTGTAACCCGGAAACTAATACTGCTCCATTGGTTTTGGAACTACTTGTATTTGTTTTGAGTGGCGGACAGACGTATATTTTCCGACATAAATTCCCAACTATTTTCCACTGACACAGTTTCTCCAAATTGTTACATAACTGTTTGGCTCTGGGGAACTTTCGGTGGAGAGGCAGCCCCATTCACAGTTTGACCACAACAATTCAGACGAAAAAACCTAACCGTTACTAAACTTAGAGTAAAAGTAGAAACACTCCCCTCCACATTCTAATTATCCGCAAGGCAAAACATGTCATATCATATTCATAACAATGCAACAGACAGCATATAGGATGATACATTTGGGGAGGGTAGGATACCGGTAGTTCACAACAATTTGAGAAGTGAGAAAGAGCAGGGTGGAAATGAATAAGAAAAGCCAAGGAAAGGTGAGACAATCTGTGCACATTAATGAATGAATTACAATGAGCTCCATGCATAAGCAACAAAATGTGGGCTACGAAAGGTGTAAAAAGTCAGCAGAAGCTGCAACTTTAGAATGCAATGGGTAAGATTAGCTAGTGATCGCGCCAAACAGCAACAATTTGGAGAAACTGTGTCAGTGGAAAATAGTTGGGAATTTATGTCGGAAAATATACGTCTGTCCGCCACTCAAAACAAATACAAGTAGTTCCAAAACCAATGGAGCAGTATTAGTTTCCGGGTTACAAGAAACCAACAACAGTCTGTCGGACTCTGTCCACAACATAATTTATAAACACGAAAAAACTGCTCTAACTTAGTCAAAGTACCTAGAAACGCCCCCGGCCCCCCCTCCCCATTCTAACTTACAAAAACAGCCGGTTGAAAATCGTGCTTGGGTGTTGGAAATGTTTTCCTTCCACAGCGTCCGATATAATATATAATTACGTTCTGGGCACGGCGAGACTGCAGCGAATAACACTAGCGTATTCGCGTTTGTAGTTGACTGCCCTGGGAAAGAGACCGCATTTTCTCCGCGCAAAGCATACTGGGAAGAGCCAACCATAGTATCCTGGGGACGAGTCGATGAACGATGAAAATTTGAGTTTTGAAGGGTAGAAAAAAAGTTTTGAACGATGAAAATTTGAGTTTTGAAGGGTGAAAAAAAAGTTTTGAACGATGAAAATTGGGTTTTGAAGGGTGAAAATTTGAGTTTTGAAGGGTGAAAATTTGAGTTTTGAAGGGTGAAAAAAAGTTTTGAATGATGAAAATTGGGTTTTGAAGGGTGAAAAATTGAGTTTTGAAGGGTGAAAATTGGGTTTTGAACGGTGAAAACTAAGTTTTGAAGGGTGAAAAATTAAGTTTTGAACGATGAAAATTTGAGTTTTGAAGGGTGAAAATTGGGTTTTGAAGGGTGAAAATTTGAGTTTTGAAGGGTGAAAATTTGAGTTTTGAAGGGTGAAAAAAGTTTTGAACGATGAAAATTGGGTTTTGAAGGGTGAAAAATTGAATTTTGAACGATGAAAATTTGAGTTTTGAAGGTTGAAAAATTGAGTTTTGAAGGGTGAAAACTGGGTTTTGAAGGGTGAAAATTGGGTTTTGAAGGGTGAAATTTGAGTTTTGAAGGGTGAAAATTGGGTTTTGACGGGTGAAAATAGGTTTTGAACGGTGAAAACTGACCCGATGAAGCCTTGTTGAAGTTGTACCTTTGGACTTTCGTAAACAATATTCTATGCTATTTCTCCATATACCAACAAACCCTTACGATATGCCTCAAGGCTGAACTTCGCAGCTATTTAGCAATTTTGCAGTGACAGACGTGAACAAAACCGACACATCCCAGCTGTGCTGGAGGCTTATACATAACAGATGCTGTGTTTGTCTCTAGGGGGACTAGCTAGTGGTAGCCTCGTATGCAGGCCTCCGAGCAGGCTTGCGTTTTGTAGCCATCGTATTCGTACAATCAACCACTGTCCAGTCATCGTAGGACTACGATGGTCGGTTGGTTGTAGAATGGCCGGCAAACGAACGCGTCTAAGGATCCAGTGCAATTTTAGGGTGACAAAATTGCCCAGAAACAAGATACTAGTACATTGTACATGAGGTGTCTGTTTATTTTTTGGGTACCACCTATAAATACTACATAGAACCAGTGAACAATAAAAAATATGCAGCCAATTCCGTCGTCGACATCACATTTTTGGCTGTGGGATAGGATTGACTCAAAACTAATATTGTATATTAAAAGAATGACCAGAAAATCCAGTTTTGCAGCCCTGAAATTGTATTGGGTACCTTTAAAACCCAGTATTAAAACGCCCCCCGCTAGGAGGCCTGCACAGGAGGCTAATCCAGTATTAGCTCCTGTCACGTTATTTTTACGCAGGGGGATGATCCCCCGCCCATAATTCTCACCTTTACTGTATAAGATGACACTCAGACGTGACAATAGGATCTAAAATCAACACTAGCAGCCAGGCGTAACCGGGTCAGGGCAGAGTGTGTTGATGTATGCAGCACTTATGATGTTGGTCCAGCATGTTAGACCATAGGCTCCTAGTATGACTCTACGGTGCTGGGAGTACTGCTCGCCCGCCCGGGTTCATTACTGTACGCTGGGGAATTTTTACGGGGTTGGTTTCAATAAGGGTGATCAGAAAGGGTAGCCTGGGTGTCAGACAGTCTCAAAGGAGTACACAGGCCAGTTCCTCGGCCCCCATTATACCACAGCCCCCACAGTAAACTCTGGCTATGGGTCTGGCATCCAGGCTACAGAAAGGACGCTAGAAAGGCTGTCAGAAAGCAAGCCCAGTGCTCAGTTAGCCTGGGTGCCAGACTGTTACGTTGGTAGGACTGGGGTCGGTAAAACATTCCTAAGCCGGTCTGTAGAGAATGGGTAATACCAGGCTACACTCACTGATTCAGAAATGAGTCTGTATTCGAAATTCACATCTGGACCAACATTTTTGGGTATTGTTGTGAACATGCTTTCACTTCTCACAACGCTTTCGTACATACCTGACCCCAAATTAACCTTGCTTCCTAGACCGAAAAATACCACAACAGAACCTATATAATTTCCCAGGAGGATTTTAAAGGATAGAAGTATTACTGCTGACTGCACACCCTTAAGATGGCCCCTCAGACTTTCTTAATTTGTGGGATAAGACTCTACGCTGTTTAGAGGGCTTAAAAGCTGTGACATGAAGAAAGCCAGACCCTGTAGCTTGTTCTGTCGAGATACAGGCATGGACTAAAACCTTGCTCGACAACTCTAGCCTAAACACAATGTGTGTTTGCTGTAACAATAGATCGACCGTTTAACGTACCTGTTGTTTGCGTGTGAACTTGAACCACACACCACAAAGTCAGCAGAGCCGTCCACATTCTCAGCATGGCTCTAAACCGTCCGTTCGCTCGCGAGTCGGGTAGAAAAATGTCGGTATGTATGAGTGAGAGCCGGCGGAGCGGGGGAGTAGACAGACGGTACGGGAAGTTCCGTACGCGGTGAATGGACTGGTCCGTGGGCCGCCGGTCGGCGGTCTGACGCGGTCTGACTCACGCGTGTTCAAGGTAAACAATGACGTCACGGGGCTACGTACAGGCCACACCCCGCTGGCTATTAGCCTCCCTACCAGGCTATACGAGTCGGGCTTTATTTGGGCTCATAATATTCTTCTTTTCTCGGTTTCTTGTGGTTTAGTACTAGTATATGGAGGCCGCCAAAAAGAAACAAGGTGCCAAGAACTACATGTATATGTACCTGTAATGAGTAATGTGCTGTCAGAAAAACAACGTAAAATCTATAAAAAAAATATTATAGCCTGATTCGTATAACCAATGAAAGCTCCTTGGTATAACCTGGTATTTCAACGAGGCTGGCTTGTTGTCCCGTTACCTGGACTAGTCTATGGGGACATAGAGCAATGCAGTCTCAAACGCAGTCTCTTACATGGGTGCGTTTTACGGATGAGAGAAACATTGGAGCAATTGTGAAAAAGCGCCCCTTAGAGGATTTTGTAAAATTGCATATTAATTATGGTGACTTTGCCAGTTTGGTTCTTCACCAATTGTCCACGAACAGAACTCAAGGTATAAGAGAATTGCTTTTAATGACATTTAACGACAAGGTAAACAAAGCTGCACAGTACATTGAATCTGTTTAAAAATATCTCAATGTATCAAATATATCATACACAATAAGCTCAGACAATGTAGGTTGCTAGCACGTGTGTGAGGAAGATTGACAGACCGAAAGACAGGAGGTCAAAAGGTCAGACACAGGAAAAGGGGTGAGCTTAAAAATGATTCTGAAATCTCCGATTTTCTGAATTCACTACGAATTCGACGACAGCATTCAATACGGACAGCTCAAACCAGTGTGGATTGTCAGTTCACCACTCCATAACGTGAAAGCTGGGTATAGCGACTCTGTGTAGTTCCACTTGGACAACGTGCCAAGGTGCTCCTTGGTTACTGCATTGAAAAAATAAAGTCTGCAATTGTCGTAGTCAAGAAGAACACCAATCCTTCTTGGCTTCGGCTTATAGTAGTTAAATGCGGCATATGGTTTTCCGTTATGCGCAATAGTGAATCTTCCTGACTTGTTACAACACTCAAGTGCCCATGACATTGAAGTTGCAAAGAGGGCCCTGTCGGTAGGCATATCTCCATAGGCGACACCAATGTTGTAGTGTCTACTCTTTACACTGACCTCCCAGTAGTGTTTGCCGTACGAGATAGGTCTGTTTCCTAAAGCTGTGTGACAGCCAGGTCCTGTATCTGCCACTCTGACACGAGTGTGGTCGTCGAGTAGTTCAAGGCCGTAACTGCAGGCGAAGTAACATAGTTCAAATGTGAACGGTTTCGGTTGATACTGTGGCTGACTTGTGGTCGAGACATTCTGACACGTAGGAGCCTGTTTTGTCACTAACTGAACTCTGCTGATAGGAGAGTACCCAGTCATATTTCTTGACCTCACTACAAACGTGTAGGTCGTTCCCGGTGCTAAGCATTTGGCAGTGAAGCAGTCGCCTTTGACAGTGGCAGTCATGTGAACATTGTTTACATCGTATTCGACGTAGTATTCATCAGTATTATTCCCAAGCTGCCACTTGATGTAAACTTTGTCTGTTGTGTACCTGCATTCATCATAAAGGATTACTGGAGCTTTGGGAGGAGCACCGAAGTCGATTGCTTTTAACTGTTCTTTCTTTTGGCTCAAGTCAACTTTCAAGTTTTCGACATCGCATTCGATTTGGTCAGCTGCAGGATAAATAAAGTCATCGAACGAAATGTTGATTTTGCTCATGAAGAAGTCTACATTTTGTAGGAAGCAGCCGTGGTCTGTTTCCTTCAGCGCTTCCTGTGCGTACGCTATGGCTGTGCGCGACTGCTGCATGTTATCTTCTATCCTGTCTATCTCTGGTTGCACACGCGCCACGTCCTTTTCGCTCACGAGCGACACCTGGCGGCTCATCTCTGCAGCGCGCTGCCGAATCACCTCGTGAAGGGCCTCACACTCTTGTTCTATGGCGTCCTTCAACTTTGCAGCACTGAAAATGACACAGTTGCAGACAATTTACAGTTAAATGCTACGAAGTACTGATACAACTGTTTTTGGTGACGCCTAAGGGACGAACCTAATAAGACAGCATGAAATCATTATGCAAGGATTTTTGGAACCGTACTGGAATTTCTAGATCTATTTGAATGCCCGGGTATGCGTAGTAATCAATACTACTAGATATCAAACTATAGCTAGAAACCGTCACCACATGACTTAGCGCAATACCAACTTTATTCTAATTATATATGGCAGAGATTTGATATGGCAAAAATGTACGGGCGGATGACATAAAATACGTAAAAAAATACTATTTCTTCCAACACTGACCGGAAATCGTTCTGTTCTTATCTTACCTCCATTCCATGTATTTCCGTGTCACCACCAGATCTATCAAGCTCTCCTCCACTTCTGTCAACCACTCCTCAAGCCGGTCCACTCCGCCCTGCAGTTCGGCCCGTCTCTGGGAGAACACCTCCTCCAGGGCCGCCATGTTGTGCTGCTTGTGTCTGCCCACCTTCTCACACAGCAGACAGACGGGAGTCTGGTCCTGCACACAGTACATCTCCACTGGTTTGCTGGGGTGGTCGGGGCACATCACGGTCTGTGAGGGCTGTTTTAACAAAAAAAGTCATACATGTATTTACTTCTTGGTACGGAAGTATTGTTTTGGGTGGCTGAGTTTATGTGTCTGTCGGCCCTAATTGCTATCAGTTTTATAGTGGGTGGGAGGTGATTTTGACAGTTCATTGATAGGGAAGTCACCTGCATCTAGCACGTGCTTTGAGGAACTGACGTAATGCCCGATTAGATTACATCCCAAAACACTTCCGGAGGTTTGTGTACCTGAAGGTCATGGTACACAACTCCTTACCAGAAGTCTGAGATTTCTTGTTACATGCTGATGTTCTTGCCACAGAAGTGTGTGGGCAAACTAAGGTACTAGACTTAATTCAAGGAATGTGTTTATAAAATTCTTAGCATCTCACCTCTTCAAAAGAAGTTCTTGGATCAACAATTTTGTGCTCCGAAAATGGCGGGTGTTGAGGATGGGTCATGGCAAGACACTCCTCGCAGTAGGACGCTCTGCAGTCTAGACAGCTTCTGAAGGCCACTTGTGGGCGGTCGGGCTTACAAAGCTGACAGGGAACTTCATTCACGGCAGAGTCCGAAGTACTCTTCATTTTCTTGTACCTTCAAATGTTTAAAAACACATAGTAAAATCAATGTTATATTAGATTGGTACTGTTGTCATGTTCAACATTATCTGTGTTCTCATGCAATATTGACCTCAACATGCAACAATTGTTCACTACGCATGGGTGTACTATTAGGCTCATCCCTAAGGCGTCGCCAAAAACCAGCATACCGATGAAATAGAACATTATAGTTTAGTAGATGTTTTCAATAGATGTTTTAAATCCATCTGTAGAAAGATCGGCACCTCCAGAGATACTACTGCACACCCCTACATCTAACATGGTAGTGTCCTTGGCGCTGAAATGCCATCTCTAGATTGTCTAAGGACAAGTAAAGAATGAGACAAAGATGGAAAACTAGCTATAGCTGCACCTTTCCACAATATTCTGCAACAGTGAGTTCTTCCTCAGTCCATCCAGACCCCGTGCGTCCAGGGGGACATCTTTCCGGCACGTCGGACAGATGAAGCTATGTGTTAAGTTTCCAGGGCCAGGCGCTTGTGCACTTGGTGAAGAACAAGCCGCTACCTCTCTTTCGTTTTTTGCTGACTCACTCTCAGTCTGAAGAAAGACTTCTGCACACCTGTAGAAACAAATCTCATCACTTGTTTTTTTTTTCAACTCTTTGGCGATGAAAACAATCCGTCGGTGTATGTTCCGACTGCGCATGCACATTGCGATGCATTATGGGCAATATGTCAAAGTTGTAGAATGAATGGCCACTTTGACATACAACCCATAATGCATCACAGTACTAATTAGCATTTTTTTCAAAATGTGCAAGAAAGGTGTGTTCTGTAGCATACCTGTGACACAGGTTGTGGTTACACGGCAGCTGTACTGGACAGACGAACAGCTCCAAACACACCGGACATGTCAGTTCCTTCTCCAGGCCTTCCATTATGTTCTATTCAATAGTCTGTAGAGCGGAAAATAAGGCACAACTGAGACATTTTTGAAGTACGGCCGCCATGTTGAAATGTACTCTCGCATGAGCACATTCTAACGGGAACGCGCTTGAGGTTGTATACCAAAGCGAGGCTACCGTTGCTGTCACATTCAGCCAGCTTCCATAAAAAAGGCAGTCTGCCACAGTCGATGCCCCCCCCATCTGTGGTCAAACGCGCGGGCAGTCACTTTTTAAAAGTCTCAAACTTTCAACGAAAACATGACGAACAAAAGGTGAGCGCCGCCCATTATAGGCGGTCTGATCAGATTTCTAAGGTCTCTTTCAATGCCAAATTAAGTTTACCTGCGCATTGTGGCAATCTACAAGACAAACTGACCGTGGTCTCCATGGTGATAAACGATTCTATATAGACTGATATATTGATGTTTGATTTTTTTCCGAAATGGATAACCCAGCTTTGCATTTGAAGTGTTCTACAGACACAAAATTAAATTCAAGGCAGGGTATCGTAGCTGAGTAGAGCGCTGGATAGCGAGATATAGTGTTACAAGAGATCTGGGTCTACCATCTTAAAAACAACTTTACAACAACAAGAGCAAAGTGTAGCGGTTAGGCTTTGCTTGCTCTTCCTATACATATAATTCTCATCAGACTTTAGCAAATGTTCATGTAAGGTTAGTAAGGCCCACATGCACTGAAAATCAGATTTTACTGTTTACATGCATGTGTAAGGTTAACCGGTCACCTTCGTCGTACGATCATTGTACGATCTCAAACTGAGGGCATTCGTGCAAGTGTCGTACAAATTTCAGGTGTCTTGTTGTGGAAAAGACCGTCTTTGAACCTTGTAAGCAGACTGTCAAAATCCACTTGAACATCCTAGGACTACAAAATCGCACGACATTCTACGATGAATGTGCCCGCACCGTATACATGGTTGTAACTAGCTTGTAAGTTACTTTGCTAGTTCTACGATATGGAAAGCTAATGATTGATTAACACCTGTAAATAGCTTGTAAGTTACTTTGATAGTTCCACGATATGAAAAGCTAAGAATTGTTTAACACGTTGTGCAAAATATTATAGCGATATCCTTGCTTGATACGTAGTTACGTACTGTTCAGTTAGTACGAGTCTCTCAGTCAAAAAGTGGTGGGGTTGAAAAGAGCAGCCGACTTGACTCGATCGGCAAGTCATGAACCACCGCAAAGGCTCATGGGAACCCGGAAGTTTCTGACTGTTCGCGAAGTTTCGGTTGTTTGTCAGCTTTCCCAATATTGATCCCGAAACTAAAAAAGACATAGAAAAAACGGACAAAAAAGACTCAGGTGAGACACGTATGTGGTACTTCAAGTTTATACGATAGCTATAACAGAGTAGGTAAGGTATTTACCTAAGTTTAATGTGTGTAATGTGTTACATCATGTCTAAGTGGAGGTGCCATTCCAATGTGGCCCTGCTGCCTCCGTGCACGGAGGTTTTGTTTTCGGTGTTGCCCCTTTGCTTGTGCATCCGGGGTTAGAGAAATAGTTGAATTCAGCTAAGCTAGTGACAGAAAGTGAGGGGGAATTGTGTAACCGCAGACTGACAGGAAGGTCGAATTGGGCGGGCCAAAATGGGCCAAAATCTAACGTTTCTTGTGTTGGTTGGTCTTCATTTTCTGTTATATTCATGTCTGTTGCCGTATGAAAGATAGTTGGAAGTGAGAGTCAGAGATCTTCGATTTCTCAATGGTCTACTTGTTGTAGAACGCTTTTGTCGTTACAGCTACTGTTCTATAGTACATCCCTTGCGCAATAGCAGTTACCATAGCAATAACGAACGTTAAACATCGACCGTATACACCAACACTGGCAACAGGTCGACTAGAAGGACAAGTCTAGCAAACTAGTTATCACTGGTTACTAGTTATCACTAGTTATCGCTGGTTATGCTCTTCTAGTTGAACAACAGTTTCACTAGCAAGAGGAACGCTGTGTGAATGTTGACAGTGTAGTGTCCAAACTATCATCGAAACTTTTGTGTTGTCTTTGTAAACAGAGCACACAATGGAGGGAACCGACGGCACAGAGGGAGAATCCTGTTCGGTAACAAGTGAGCCTGCCCCCGAGGACATGACGACCAACTCCCCCTGCCCCTCGTGCGAGGATCCTGTCCTCTCGGATGGACAGAGCTCAGTGGACGAACTGTGGTGTAACTCTCAGGCATCGGCCATTGAGAACAGGTAAGGATGTATATTAGATTTGTAGAAGAGAAGGCTATAGTTTCGGAATTATTAAAAGGAAATGTACAACTTTGAGAGAGAGGTTAGTACTAACGTGTTAGGGGGTATTCTGTTGACGTACACTGATATAATCTATTCCCATTTTGTCATACATGCTATCTTATGTCGCCCTTGCGTCTATTGATACAACGTTATTTTTGTTTTATTACAGATGCAAAGAGTTCACAAGCAATGGTACCGAGGAACAGCCCCAACTTCTCTGCCAGCTTTGTGAAGAGGATTCCCCTAGAGTAGCCGTTAAAACCTGCACGGTCTGCGCGGTACGGTACTGTGAACCGTGTCTGGCTCTAACCCACCCACCACGCCCACCGTTTTCCGAACACAAGCTCATCAACCCACGGCCTTCGTTTAAAAAGGTACGAACGATTTAATCTACAAAGACTGAACGCTAAAAAAACTCAAAACGTACAATATCTGGCCCTTATGATTTGTATGACCATAACTATAGTATAACGGCCCTCTATTTTCACACCAGGACGGCCGGGGGCCGATACAGACTTCCAAACACCTCTGACCCAATACTGACGTCATTTTCCGAAAGGCCATGTTCCAAAAGAAGCAGTTCACTACAACTTGACAAGGACCAACTCTTTGTTGAAAAATAAATATTTAGATGTTTTTCTTGCATGCGCAGTTGTATCAAAAGATGTAACTGATTTTATTTCATTAACACCCCCAGACCGTGATGTGCCCCGACCACCCCAGCAAACCAGTGGAGATGTACTGTGTGCAGGACCAGACTCCCGTCTGTCTGCTGTGTGAGAAGGTGGGCAGACATAAGCAGCACAACATGGCGGCCCTGGAGGAGGTGTTCTCCCAGAGACGGGCCGAGCTGCAGGCCTGGGTGGACCGCATGGGGGCGTGGTTGACACATGGGGAGGAGAAGGTCCGGAGGCTTCAGGAGAAACAAGAGAGTGTTAAAACCAGGTACAATTGTTTGCTTGCCAATCATTATAATTTCATATGTCTATTACATATTTGCGTTTGCTTTGTAACTTCAACGCAAGTCCATATATCGTAGGAAATTCATTAGTGTACATTTATTAGTCTATATGCATATTTTCTCCTCAATAAATATAATAATACTTTTTTGTTTTGTAGCGCCGCGGAACTGAAGTCCAGGATCGAGAAGGAATGCGACGACTTGGTCGACCGCATCAGCAAGCGTAATACCGAGATGGACCGCCAGGTGGCGGAAGCCAGCAATGTCGACACGACAAATCTCGCGAGACTGATACGAGATGTTCAGGACAACATCCCCAAGGCGCATGCGTCGCTGAGCAAGGCCGAAGACTTACTCCACGAAACAGACCATGCTAATTTTCTGCAGTCATCGGTGTCGGTTATGGCCGAGATCCACAGAATGGTTCCAATATTTGGCATGAATATCGAGAACGTCTCGTGCTCCATTGACAAGCTAACCGTTGACTTCAGTCAGCAAAAACAGGTTGTAGAAAACATAAACATATACAAGAGGTATATCCCTACAATGTTTCCTTCCCCGCATGGTTTCCCCAGAGCTATGAGTCCATATATACAGCAGCATGCGCCGTTAGCTACAGCAGGTTTTCCTGTTGTTCACGGGCCCCCTTTTCATGCATATCCCTCGACTTCAGCACCAGGGTTCAACACAGTACCTGCAGTGCAGTGCACATGCCCGCCGCAAGGGTACCAAGGAACATTTAAGATCCGTCAACCCCCAAGTCAAGTCCAAGGACAACCCGTATCATCGCTTGCTCACGGGGGCTATCTTCAGAATGTACCCGTCGCGACGTGTCCTCCTTTTGTAGGAGCAGCCCCTAGCGCCCAACAGCCGGTCTCTACTTGCCCCCCTCTCGTTGGAGCGCCGCCCAGCGGCCAACAACAGGTCGCAACGTGTCCGCCTTTCATAGGAGCGCCTCCTAGTGCCCAACAACCACCTGTGCAGCCAACAATCTTGCATGATCTTTGCAGTGCGTCTATGGAAGAAGTCAACATTGTCTGGCAAGCTGTCTACAACGCTGATGAGTATCAGGTACGATACACGCTTGAAGACCGTCAAGTGGCCGCAGTTGTGCATGCCTGCTCGTTCACGGCCACGCATTTGAAGCCTGCTACAGTATACAGGTTTGAGATTCGAGCAAGAAATGTAGCTGGGTCATCACAGCCGAGTGTAACCTGCCTGGCTACGGAAGGGAAGGGGTTCAAGTTCAGGTTCGATCCGAAAACGGCAGGACGGTTTCTCGCATTTTCCGGCCAAAATACACGCGTGACGGTAGCAGCCCCTGGGGACAAGCCGAGCGGTTCACCGGCGAGATTCACCGATGGGAACACAGTTTTGGGAGACAAACAAGTCACCAGCGGCCGGCAGTACTGGGAAGTGTCTACAGGCGGCGCTGGCTCCCACTACGCCGTTGGTGTCGCCTACGCGAGCATGCCCAGAGACAGGGACATCCGGGACACCACCAAGTCATGGGCGTTCGTCCAACACGAGAAGACGCAGACGTTTCATCACAACGAGGTGACCATCTTCCGCACAGAAGCGGACACCGTGCCGTCCAAGATCGGCGTGCTCTTGGACTACGACGCCGGGCAAATCAGCGTACATGATGCGGACAGAAGAACCGTCATCTACACACACAAGACCACGTTCACAGACCCAGTCTACCCGGCTTTCTCCCTGTGGCAAGGCTCTCTCCAGCTCTATACTGGACTGGTGAGTTTGTCTCGTACGATCATTGGATTCTATGTCAGTTTGAACAAACTATTAAAGTTGCTTCAGTCTGAGGGTCTATTATGCCATGTCAGCTATGCCTAACTGTGTTAAATGTTTCTGGCAATAGGAGAAACAGCAGACCATCGGCCAGTTTGCAGAGAAAGAAGAAGAAGAACCCCTGACGGCCGCCATCTTATCCACTTTGCCGCCTCAGGAGCAAAAGCAAATGTTGGGGGAACGGATCTTTCCAATCGTCCAGGTAAAATTAAAACCAGATTGAACAACTTACGAAAGTGTGGCGTTAGCAGCAGTGGTCCAATGTGGTTGGAAGTCGGTAACGCCCCCCGTCCCGGTTCAGTTCTGCACGTAACATTCTGATTCAAATGCCCTTGAGGATTATACCGTATGTATCTGTGGACAATGAAATTCATTTTAACTGTCTGTCTCTCGTTCCTAGGTGTCACATCCTAAACTTGCCGGTAAGATCACCGGCATGCTGCTGGAAATCGTCAACGACGAGCTGCTGAAAATGTTGGACAATCGTGAGGATCTGAACGCTAAGGTGTGTACACAGAATTTCTTCTGTCCAAGAATCAAAGAGCGTTTTATAAAAACTACTAAAACGTTCATATAGTAAACATTGTGAGGCTAACTTTTACACTCAGAATTGTTGAATGCAATTGTTTAAACATCAGATGTGATTACTTCAACTTCAAGGTCAAAAAGACATTTGCAACGATGGCTTCTGAGGGACGATATCGACTTCTTGTTTGTATGCTGACGTCACTACGTTTACATGTTCCAGGTTGATGAGGCTGTAGCCGTGCTGAGTGTCCACAAAGCGAGCTTAAAGGAAAAGCGCATCGGCGAGCCATCTGAAAATGGAAAATAAACGCGTGTCTGGTCACGGACGGGATCCGGCTCTCCAGCAAGTCTCATTTGCATACTCGGGACAATTTACCAACGTTTGGTAGAGTGGCGTCACGTGACTAGTTGAACGCGTCCATCATTTTGCTTGTCGAAATTTTAAAATTTTGGTTTCGGTGGTAAATGTGTTGCTTACAGTGCCAGTGGCATGGGCGGGACTACTGGTGTAGTTATGGAAACAATGTGTGCTATTTCCATTGCAAGTGCCTCAGAAAGCAGACTTGTCGGGGACCATTTTGCCTGAAAGCCTTTGCTACGTCCACCTAAAAGTTTCTCAACCACCATTATTTAGCTCTATGGTACTAGTAAGTAAGTGATGACACAGTTGAATACAAGATTACGACATCAAATTCCGCAACTTTCTGTATATTTTTGTGTTTTATTTTGGTTTGACACCTCGTTGACACACACACACAGTGTCATGTCTGAGAGTATTATTCCATTACTTAGTCGATTCAACAAGTTTCATACTGAGTTATGTGATCTGGTACTGCAGGTAACTTTTCATTGAGATTTGCAAGAAGAAGAATATTTTTGGTTTAAAAATGTTTCCTCAGTGTCTTTGAATTGAAACTACATTTCACCAATCTGTTAATTCTCTATGGCGAAATAGATCAACTTGTGAAGTGGTCCCCTTTCAGTATTCTGTGTGGCAGCAGTAAAGCACAGCAGGACACTCCCGTCCACGCCTCGGGTAAGTCCAAGGCAGGCTTCCAGGCGTCCCTGTCGGGGTCGTAGCTCTGCACGTCCGAGAGCGTCTCCACCCCCGCTCGGGAGGCCGTGTTCCGGGTGAGACCTCCGAGGAGATAGATTCTACCTTCCAGGGTCGTACATCCGGGTTCTGACATCGGAACCAACATGTCTTCCACCATAGTCCACTGGTCCACGTTTGGGTCATACCTCTCCACGGTTGCCGATGTCTTTAAGACTTTTGCTGGAGATAAGAAAGTTCCTCCCAAGACGTAGAGTTTCCCGCCCAAAGCCACCATGCGGTGGAAGGTGCGGGCAATTTGCATGGGCGCCATATTGATCCATTTCCGGTCCTTAGGCGAGAAGCTTCGCAGTGCATCCTGGTGCTCCCATCCTACACTTCCGCCGGAAATGAAAACTGTCTTGTCGAGTGTTGCGCCTGCGTGTCCGTAGAGAGATTTAACGTTCAACGGCGCGGTGTTCTGCCATGTATTCGATGGAGGACAGAAAACTTCGACCGAGGACAGCTCGCCTTTAGCGTTTCTTCCTCCGATGGCGTAAACTTTCTCGTCTAGGACGCATGCGCAGAAGTCTGCACGTGGCTGTTGAAGCGGCGCCACCTGCAGCCAGCTGTTGAACCTGGGGTCGTACCGCCAACAGGTGCTCGACGCCGACCGGGAACTCTTGTTGGCCTCACCTCCAATTAGATACACGAAATTATTCAGCACCGCCACTGCGCGATGAGTCAAACAGTCCTTCGCCGTAGTCAGTGTTGTCCAGCGGGACGTGAGGGGGTTGAGATATTGCACTTTATTGGTTCTTCCTCGCCCATCACGTGACTTGATTCCTCCAATGGCAAGAAGGCATTCGTGTAGTGCCCTAGGTTTGGTACAAGCGCTCTGCTGTAATGGCTGTGAGTGTTGCTCCCTGTGATAACATAGAGCTTCCTGAAGCTTCAGTTGGCAACTGCTGTTCCCGTACACTACGCTAGAGGTCGCGACGTTCTTTTCTAGGTACGCGTTTTGCATGAGAGGAAACCGAATGTGTTTCATGATGGAGTTGGTGAACTCGAGACGATCTTTTTTGTAACAAAGCCACTTCAGCGCCGCTTCAAAGATATCCTCTTCTTTGACATTCAATGAGTTACTCATCAAAAGACATGCGACCTTGAACATGGGAAGGTTTAGAAAAGCCTCCGTTTGGACGAAAGTTGCAAAGTTTTCGGCGAGAAATTTGTCCACCCGTCCCTGGACCATCATCATGTGATAATCGCTGGCAACTTTCGATATCTTGGCACAGGTTGAAATAGTGATGTTCGACAGCAAGAAATCACTGCAAAGGTTTGTGAGTATTGCACATTGCAGGTAGAAACTCAGATCAACTACATTTTCTACATTGTCCATTGACAGTGTTATCTTCGAGGTATACGCAAAAGCGACTACTGTCTGTAGACTGGAAAAGTGCACTCCTACTAGCTGTACTTTCCCACTGTTCGCCTCTACCATTCCAGCCGTAAACATGGCGCGAAAGTAGTCGCTAAATATCACGAGAACTAGCTTGTGCGCCGCGAGAGTTTGACCGCTAGCTTCCAGGATGACGTCACAGAACTTCCCGTCATGCCTCATTGCACATAACTTCTCCAACACGTAACTTCCGTGGCTCGTCGTGAAAGTCATACTCCGAGACTTTTGGGAACTGAAGTTTTGACACACTTCGACCAGAGGTTCTATCTGAAGACGGGATGCTAAGATCTTAAGATCTTGGAAGCTGTCAGAATCTAAGACGACTCTGGAGGTGTATATGAAGTCAAGTAGGCTCTGTACTGCGGAGCAGCTAACGTCTTTCCACAGTGGTGAAGCCCACTCTACTTGTGTTGTAGATTGCGGGATCTTTTCCAGTTCGAATCCAAGTTTGTCCGATGCAACAGCTAGTAGTATTCTGTGTGCCGGAAAGATCTTCCTTCCCGAGCGAATTTTCACGTCGCAAAGTAGACCGCTTTTTCTCATTTCGTTACACCGACGGAGAAAATCGGATGCGTACACAGCTGACGTGTAGGTTCTTTGTAAACCCTGTGATCGCTGAGGTAGAAGTTGTTTCGGACGGGCATGGCGACTGGACCGCTTCCTTGAAGACCAGTCCCGTGATGCAATGTTGCTAGCTTCCACCAGAGGTCGCTCTTCCCTTTTAGGGTTCTGTACAGCACTGGGCACGTAGGAGGGGAAGCCGACAACTTGTGGTATGTGACGTGTTGTGGTACGCTCCATTCTCCCTGTGCGACCTGGCAAAAACAAATAAACAAACAAACAAACAATGTAAACAAAGTAAAACTGGCGTGAAAATTACATAGCTGGTGACGAAAATTTTTGTCCTGGACGAAATACATGTACTACATGTAGTATTATACTAGTACTTTACAGTACACAAATCCAATACCTATGTTTTGACACTTGTAGACGAGAGTTTCAACTGAGAACGCCTATATCCTATTCTATATCCTATATATAGAGACCATTCTCCTCTTTTGGTCTGGACACGCCATATGCCTTTGTGGCGTCTCGTGTTGGTTGTTTGTCTTGGTGATTTGGTTTCGGCAAGAACATTTTGTGCTCTATTCTTTCGCCTCTGACACCTGACACGTGTTAGACAACGTTACGAGCCCACCTAAGTATAAAACAAACACTGTCCTGTAGGTAAATACTTCAAACTGCTAGTCTTAAGCCCCAAATCCGGGTTTAAATCAAATCACAGAACTATTCTGGCTCTAACAAAGCCTTCGTGACCACGCATGTAAAAGTCGGAGTATCTTAGGGGTAGGTAAACTGTGGCAGAAGAAAAGCCGTCAGTACAGCGTATGTACTAAACGTTTGGTCAACAATAAGACAAGAGATTACACATTAGCGAACATAGGGGGTGTGGAAACAAGATCTACTCAGCAAAAATAACACTGGTAAAAGGCCGAGTAAAATGTATTTGCTTATAGGAAGTAAACAATTCCTTTGGTATTGTTGTATAAAGTAGAGAGATGCAGCCTATTCCATGTTAGTTTGCTTCATCGATTCTTGATGATTGTTATTTTAGCCTGGTCCCATTTGTCGCACGAAGGTTGTACGATCTGACTGATGGTATTCTTGGCACAGTCGAGCATCGGTCGTACGAAATTCAGCTGTCTTCTTATGGAAAAGTCTGTCTTAGATCCTTGTCGTGGTTGGTTATGTCACAGCCTGCTTGAAAACCCTACGATCGACACCAAAATCGTAACTCTAAATATCTTACACTGTGGTTGTGCTCGTTCAAACTACTAGTACTTGAAACATGGATACTACGACTCTAAAGTCATTACAACCGCTCGTAGACTTAAAGATTAGAAAACTCACGATCATTTTGGGGGCCACCATTTTCGGAACGCCGAACTTTGTCCACACGGGGTCTTCGACCAGTCGTGGCCATAGTTTATTCGTCGTTCTACATTGATAAATGCCACTGTAAGGCTTAAATGTCACGCCTCCACAAGGGTCATAGTCACGGGCACTGAGTTTCAATAGGCCCGAACAGATTCATGTCAACCGGTCGCATGGCAATACACTGCGTGACAGTAATGTGAGCCGGTAGTATGTGTAACACTTTATGATTTAGAAAAGCCAGGAGGGGTAGGGGCGTTGATATAGTCAATCAAAACGTGTAAATGGTAAATGCGAAATTTGCGTTCTGCTGTTAGAATATCACATTTCTTATAGGTTCATTTTTCACTTTCTTGATATAATTAGCTGCTATATTATGTATTGTAAGTACTAATGAATGAAACGTGAATGTTTTCTATGTTGATATTCCATATGGAATTACGTCTTCATTAAAAAAAAAAGAGAACATGCAAAAAGTTTGCTTCCCATGCCGGGAATCGAACCCGGGCCTTGTGGGTGAAAGCCACAAATCCTAACCACTAGACCACATGGGAGGTTGATATCTTTAGCATTGGTGTCGGGATCCATGACCTAATTCTATGTTCGATCCAATCTAGTTCCCACCAAGCGCTAATACTTAGGTGCAAGTACTACTGATTGATTTATAATCTCTCGGCTCAATGCTTAAAGGTACATTTTGTAATATTTTGGCCCACAGATAAAATTACTGTCGTGAACAAAAAACCCTCCTAGAATATTGTTACTATGTTATAAGGTTGATTTAACAAACTATGTAAAGACAGGAAAATCTACTTTCTACTCTGGTTAATCTTACATAATGCCCCTTTAAGGCATCACCATAGTAACGCAGTAAACACAATAACTAGAACCTTGCTTGTCGATGCAATAATAGAAAGGACAGAAATCCTCGGATGATTACCTCCATGAAAATGGAGGTTATATTTTTAACATTGTCTTGGGATATATTAGTCAGGGCAGAGATGGCGCGCTCTAGTAGAATCGACGATTCTACCGGTAGAGATCCCAATCGTAGTAATTTCGCCTAAAAGATAGTCTTTCTTTCTGTATTTCTTTGACCCCCAAATTGTGATTGCTCGTTGTCTCCCCGTAACATATAAGATACATAAATAAATAATAACAGAAACATTTCGACTTCGATTCATGTCACTTTAGATCAATAGATTGAACTAAAACTCAGGATTTTAACTTGAGACCATAGGGTTTTAACCTAACACATGCCTACCATTTTGATCGCAATCTCTGCACGTACATGTCTACGAGATCTCTGCTGGCCATTCAGGCATTCTACCAGATCACAATCCCTGACATATACACTACTGATGAGGGGCAGACATTTTAAAACAGCTGTTTCTTGTCTAATCAATAAGTGGAATAACAACTTCATGTTATTCATTTGCAACATGGCAACAAGAAACCCAATTAAGGACAGTTTTAACAAATGGCCCTTCGCTGTACACAATTCTTTTATGCCCAATGTAGCATAGCGTTACACACGAGGTACTAATTGATCTCAAACAAGCAAAGGTAGGGTACCAAAGATTGGCAATGAAGGTGAAGTTTTCGCCTCAAAAACATGAAAACAAAATGGCGAGCACAGCAACTCCCAAACAACCACGTTTTAAAAGAAAGGAGTCGTTTCAACTTGTGCCATCCAGAAATGTTGCTTTCTGTCACACTAAAAGTGACAAAATGACAGTTTTACAGAATTATGAGGAAACTAAGCATACCTTTTTCTTCTCGCGGAATGTAGACTTTGGCCGTTCCGCGATTTGATTAAGACTACATCGTGCGGGTACAAACAAGCGCAGTTCTTTATCTACAATTTGTTTTCAGGGCCATACTCGGGGTCGTAGCTAAGATAGCAACGGCCGCTATGCCAACATGCCAGTGCAAATAACTCACTGTGTAGTGAGAGGGTATGAAAGGGGGTCATGGCACGGTGTGAGATTTAGAAATTGTCCATGGAATCACATTTAAGACCTTTTTCTATCATCTTTTGGCAGGACGCATTTCTGTTAAGGTTTGATATAGTGTAAGAAGATTGATACAAGATAATTAGAAGACGTAATTTCTGTGAAGAAAAAAAACAAACAGATTTCAGAACACGCAAAAAGTTAACACTTAACTTAATTGACCTTTTTTTGTTTCAAAGTGGAACTGGACGAAAGAAAAAAATGTCCATGAATTTGGGGGGTTGTCTAAGAGCCATATTACAAAAGGACGTACTCGAACACCCCATGCGCGCCCTTTGCTTCCCTGGCTATGTGTAATGCCTTGACTCTCAATGAGGCCGAGCGCGTTGTTGACACGCGTACGGAATTCACAGAGCCGAGCAACGGGACACAGGGACTATTCAACCGTACAGAGAACGTGTTGGTTACGCTAGGGTAACTCAAGACCGGGGCTTGGGTGGTATTTCGGTTGTGAGCTTTAACCGATTTGTAGCTGTTACTGCGTTTTAAGTAGAAAAATGCATTTTGCAAAGTCTTTTCTTATCAACAAGATAAGACGAGAATGACAATGAAACACTCTAGTGAAAATTGTGAAATCAGCTATATTAGATTTATCTCTAAAATTCTTATTAAGTGTAGCTCTCCTCAAACATGGTCAAAGCTAGGTACTCATTTTCACCGAATCGAATGAAGAAAAATGGGTGTAAAGCGACTTTTCCAATGGCAAAACATTCGGCCTAGGGATTCGAACCCGGAATCTTTAAATATTCTGAACTCCAGAAAAAGCTACTTACCGCTTTGCTGTTCCCTTCGCTTCATCCTAGTGTCTTCAAATCCTCACTTTCTGCAGAAGGCATCCGGGCGTCTTGAAGACTCTTTGAGAAATCTTAAAGACTTTTGTGGGTGTTGTGTGGCTGTAGGCAACACGCGGTGTACTTTGGAATTACATATCGAACGGTAACCGCACTTGTACTGACATGCATGCACTCTGGCTCCTACATACCATACTATCAAAGCTGCACCGAACTGCAATATACACCGGTCCACTAAAAGGCTCAACACCCTCACTGTGATTGGTCCAAACAATCCGGCCTATGCTAACACGGTGTCAAGCAAGATTGAACATGTTGACAGTGGTTGTCTTCTCTGTTGACAGTCAAGACATCTGGCCTTTTGTTTCGCGCGCTTTTTTTGTTGGACGACGTTTTGGCCAGAGTGTGGCTCGTGTTTGATGTTGTGTTTAACGGTACAAAGGGCTTTAATGGCCCTATTTTTCACACACATTTCATACCATTACTTGTTTTGAGAGAATTCGATTCAAAAGTAAAGTCTATTTTGTAGGGAACGTCTTTGCCCTTGTAATATCAGGGGAACGAGAAGAACATTTTGTCCGTTACCTTGGTAACCACGAACCTCGTTCCCATTGCTTGATGAAAGCAATACTCAGGCGACAAATTCTGACAAGTAACATTATAGCAAGCAACATCACAGGAAGAAGAAAAAAATTGAAGATGTTAGATGTCAATTTTTTTAGAGACCTGCCATAGTATTATATATTATGCTCCTCCAAATCTGTGTAGAATATAGTTTGCCTCTTTGCGACCAACGAGGAATGCCCCCTTGCGAAGAAACCTGATATGGCACTTCTTTCTTCATAATAGCTCTTTGGAATTTGAACAAAAACAGTGCTTGAATTTTTCTGCTTTGATCACCAAAGCATAACATAAACTTGCCATTCAGAGACATTTTATACCAGGTTTTACATTACATAAACATAGTATACAGGCCACAGATTTATTTACATACACAATTACTTGTTTTGTGTGGATACAAAGCTATTTTGTCAACAAATACAAACCTTTGAATGTTCTGTAATTTCTTGTGCGCTTGCTGTGATGCAATGGTGAAGGGAAGGTACGAGTAAGAAAACGCGTCGAGTGCGTGTAATACACATGGATCCAGCTTCACTATGAAGTGCAATGCTCATTAGTTCCGCTAGGTTTGCTGTCATCTAGTTGGAATGCACTCCAGTGTGACAAGCAGACAGATATGAGACTAGAAAAAAGTTACAGAAATCTGCTATTTTCTTTTTCTTAACTGTCCAATTTCATGTTAACTATCAGATAGAGATTGTCTCCCTACTATGATTAGAAATCTAAATCCCTTCCCTCACTTAATTTCAATATACAGTACACAGCATCCAAAACTATGTAGTATATTTCCTTTGGCTACGGGTGATGCTAAACAGAAAATTGCGTTGCTTTTGGCTGTAAGACCTTCACCTTGGCTGACCCCAGAGTTTGCACTTAGATTTAGATTGGCCTTGATCATGCACGACAAGCAACGCCATTCGGGCTTAAGAACCAGACGGAGACATTGCCTTAAGGTTTGGTGCCCTCTTAAGGACTGCTTTCAAGACCTACTAACGCGGTAAACGGGGTGGGGAGGGGGGCAACCCAGTACTCCAGGGCTATCGAAGGTCATTTCAGTCAGTGTACCTCGAATGACGTAAACAAAACCCTCACAACCTTTCAGTCCTAATGTTTTTGCTTGCGGGTGCGGAAGTATTGTTTTGGGTGGCTGAGCTGTGGGTTTGTGTGTCTGTACGTCCGAACAGCGTTGGTTGACGGCACGTGGGTGGGGGAAGATTGACATGCAGAATGACAGGCGGTCAAAACGTCTGACATAGGAAATGGTGTTAACTTGAAGGTCTCGAAAACACAAAATATTTTCCAGAAGTAAAAAAAAAATCTATTTTCATATGTATGTTGAACTCGTAGCAGAAGAGTGATTGTTGAGAGGGATTTACTTGGGTAGGGGTCATTTCTCGAGTCATTCTTGCATTTCCGTGCATATGTCAATGTAAAAACCAAAGGGTGTGTGAGCGAGCACACAATGATTTATGAAATGACATCAAATGTCCTAACAATCCAAGTAGTTTATGTATGTACCGTCTGTATATTACTGGTGCATTTGTTTGCTAAAAATACACCATGTTGATGCGGTGTTTGGTTGTCAAGTCATCCATGTTAATCTTGTCAAAAGCAGCTGACCAATCCAGACGTTTATTTTGTCATCTCCCGGTGCTATTTTAGGATGTTCGTAAACGTTTTTTTAACGAGTGGCCACGGGGTTAAGTGGAAGGTGTCGTTTCTTTCAAACATCTGAAAATTTATTCTTTGCAGACATATCAATCATATACTGTAGATACAATACATATAGAATACAACACGGGGTATTCCGTATCGCCCGAGGTATCGGCCCGACCGCGGGTCGGATCGCCCGACGGCCGCAGGCCGGAGGGCGATCCGACTCGCGGGAGGGCCGGGACCGAGGGCGATGCGGAATACCCCGTGTTGTATTTTATTTATATCATACCCACCCAAGAAAACGCGCCTTTCAATGCAATATGAGCCAAAAGTTGGTGCCCCTAAACCCTCAAATGCAACAACATCAGTTCCAACGTCCGGATTCTGTATTCGAATTTTCGAGAGCGGCACACGCTGTTAGGGAGAAACGCGTTCGAATCGTTTTATGGAAGCCATGGAAATGTTCGATAACGGGTTCCGGACCGGGCCGTACCGTAAAGTACGGCCCGGTCCGGAACCCGTTATCGAACGTTATCGCGGCCCGGGTATGATATAAAATACAATACAGTACAGTACAGTATATATTATTCTCTTTATTTATATGACTTATATTTTGTACCTTCTACTTTTGTCTTATAAGTCAACACAGGCTCAGAGTCACCCATTCATTCATTATTTCATTCATGCATCAGATACATAGTTTCTATTTGCAATACAAAGTATAACAGGTGTATTGAATAGGCTAAAACAGCAAAAACGTTATCCACAAAGATTACAAGATTCCACAAGTTTGGCTAAAAATCTGGTCTTGTTTCCTTCTTTTTCCCGTTTTCCCGTAAATGCTGAACTCACAAAAACAGAAAATTAACCAAATAGGAACAGGACAGAAGAAAAAGAGTTCTCAAACATTTGAAAGACATGAAAGAGAGTGCTCAAAAAATAAAACGCTTTCAAATCTTCACTCCCCCTGTTACGATTCAAATTGGTACGTCCCTTGGCCAGAAACATGTCGTATCCGCATATCCGAGCACATGTCAATGTGAAGAAAATGCTGAAAAATTAAGACGCACTCAAATTACCCCCTCTTCTACGCTTCCCATTTGGTACGTCCCATGGCCTGAAACCTGTCTAACGTTGAACAGAGGTTCGGTGGAAGGAAACATCATGTAGGCCGCCAGGAAGGGAACATCCACCGCCACTCCTACCGGCCACCGCGGGTCTAAATATTTGTCTTGGGCTGACATTCAACTTCGCCGGGTCGCTGTCAGTTTGGATAACTGGCACGGGAGGTTTCCTTGCTTGAGGGCTGGGAGTGGGAATAAGAAGCTTTCGTTTTTTTCTTGTACAAAATGTAGGAAATGATAGGACATAGGATCGACTGTCTTATCAATGAAGGGTTTTTGCCTCCGTGTTGGGAGATTATTCTTTTCAGTGTGTTTGTTTGTTTGCTTGAATATATGAATACAGTAAAGTGACAGGAACTTAGCTATAGCTAGGAAACGGTGTAGCAGCAGATTGACAGGAAGGTCGAATTGTGGGTCAATATGATCTCCCCGTAGGCTGAAGGGAGGAAGTGAATGGTACAAATGTTACCTCATTTTTAAATTGATTCTTCAATACCCTGCTATATTGATGTCTTTTGCCTTATGGAAGCCAGTGGGAAATGCATAACAGTTACACAGATTTAGCGAGAACTTGATTCGCAATAATGAGTAAAACAGGAAACCAATGGGCCACAACAACTCTGAATACTTCATGGAGGTCTGAGATCTTTGCCTTGTTCGTATATAGAATTTACAGAGGGGAGGCTCATTGTGTCCCCGTCCTCTTGAGCTAAGACTGCGGTT